ATTTTCAAATATAAAACTTATTGAAATGTTTTCAGTGTGTGTATCAGTTCTTTTTGAACGTTTTCATCTAATTTGAACAAAACCATGATAATATTGATAATCGTGATAACTTTGGTCACTATAATAGTGATATGAAATTTTCATACCGTTACATCCCTACTACGTATATATGTAAAAATTGAAGTGTACTTTGGGCTTTATTGTTTCAATTATACCTGGATGTCTATGGTGATATCAAAAGCCTCAGTTTGGCTTGATCCATCACTGATGTAAAAGCTGAAGACATCCTGGCGGATGTTAGCTTGGCGGATGTTTTGAACATAGAAGATATGGTCTGAGGTGAGGTCTTCTATAGTGAAGGGGACGTCGGGGCTGATCACGCGAGATCCACCAATCGCTGCTGTTGAACAAACACAACACTTTGAGCTTGAGTGCAGTCTCGTAATTCTGGAGACTGCATTTTACTGGGAACAACATTTCTGAGCCTAATATCCAAACAAGTAATTGATCTTAACAAAAACAACAAATAAGCAACTTTCTAGACAAAACATAAGAGAGAGTGACTGTCAGCTGCAAGACAAGAAATTGCTAATATTTATGAATAAATGCACAACCCAAAATCATGAAGATAAAACAAGTGTGTTCTTAAAGTACATACATCAAAGCAGACATCAGAGTTTGCATCTGTGTTTTGGGTGAAAAACTACATTTTGTGCAACTGTCGTTGGGTGTTTATGTTCCACCGTGATCTGCTTTTATTTTCCCCAGTCAAACAGAAAGCCTGAATAAAGATGCAGGGATTAAAGTTCCGTCGCTACGACAGATTTCCGTCAGTTCATAAAGACAGTCACTTGCTTCATTCCTGAATGATTCAGCCGTTCGAACGAATCAATTGAATGAATGATTCAGTGATAAAATCAGTGACTTGCCGCCACCTGCTGGCGGATTTAGTTTAATTTTTAGCGTCTGAGGAATGGGGTTTGGTCGAAGAAAAATTTTCAGTCAAAAGATGTTTTTGCTTTAACCCCTGCAATATAATAAGAAGTAGAACAAGACAAATAAGTTACCAATCATATGAAATTAGTATTAATAAATTAATTTGTACTACAGAGGTGGCACAGAAGAACACAAAAGTGGCTTGTAGGTACATTTTCAGACGTTTAATGAGGCTCAGAGGTAGCATGAGTGCAATTAAGATTAATGTTTTAAATATACAATTTTGAATACAGAAATATGATTTAAATAACTGAAATTATTCGCTAAAAATGAAACTAAATCCACCAGCAGGTGGCGGCAAGTCACTGATTTTTTTCACTGAAAATCATTCATTCAATTGATTCGTTCGAACGGCTGAATCATTCAGGAATTAAGCAAGTGACTGTCTTTATGAACTGACGGAAATCCGTCATAGCGACGGAACTTTAATCCCTGAAGATGGCTGCATCCATCTGAATTTCACACATCTACAAATCTCTATCACAGCAAATGAGTGCTCTGCTCAGGAATAAAATTACACCATCAGCAACTGTTGTAAAAAAAAAAAAAACATCCACAAAGTGAATGAAACTAAATCCACCAGCAGGTGGCGGCAAGTCACTGATTTTTTTCACTGAAAATCATTCATTCAATTGATTCGTTCGAACGGCTGAATCATTCAGGAATTAAGCAAGTGACTGTCTTTATGAACTGACGGAAATCCGTCATAGCGACGGAACTTTAATCCCTGAAGATGGCTGCATCCATCTGAATTTCACACATCTACAAATCTCTATCACAGCAAATGAGTGCTCTGCTCAGGAATAAAATTACACCATCAGCAACTGTTGTAAAAAAAAAAAAAAACATCCACAAAGTGACTGGGAAAAGGAAGCTAACATACAATGGTGCAAGGTGATATACTACAGATGAAGACAGCTGGGTGATTCACCTTGTTTTGTGTTCTCAATGAAGCCATACTTTGGTGGGCTGATAAGCCACACCAGCAGATCCTTTCTGGGTGTGTCTGGGTCAGATGCAATAATGTGATTGGCTGAGAGCTGGACCCTCCCTCCTTCTTGAACCTTTACACAAGAAACACCATAAAGATTTTAGGAACGCTAAAAGAACCAGATCTAAGACTAGCTGATTGGTGAAGGTGAAATGGGAACCGTTCTCACCTTAATGCCGCTTCGCACGGTGACAACAGGTGGCTGCCTCTGGGTAGACGTGATGGTGATAGTGAACATCTGGTTCTCCAGACGATTGTTCTCTCCATCATAAACAACGAAGTGGAAAATGTCAGTGACAGGCTGGTTACCCGTTTCAAAGGATGTAACATACCTTTTAAAAAAAACAACAAAAAGATATTTCACACTATTTTCAACCGTTTTCAAATGCTGAAAGAAAGAGAGCTGGGAAACATTTGGAAAAATTGCTGTAAACATAAGGTAGATATTCCATCTGCTTAAAAAGCAAACCACCAGAGGATAACACTCAAATATGGGCAAAGACGTAATCGCCAGAGAGAACTGTTTTACATTTCATCATTTCTCAGCAGTGCTCAACAATTCAAAGCAATTAAAGAAGCTTGTGTTGTAATGCATGTTGACGCTCTCAACTCGCCAAACATTTTACATGCCTCATTTATAGAGTCTAATATTAACATAAGCTGAACACATTAATACTGGTAATGATCTAAAAACACACTGACACACTGATATGCAGCAAAATTGTGGTAAAAATTAAAGCAATACTATTTAAATTCAACTATCGTAAAATATATGAAAGTAACAGAGCTGCTAAGAATATAAAATACATCTGATGCAGGCAGGATTATTATGAAACTAAAAGTGTAAAAAAAAAAAAAAAACTTTTGAAATAAAATAAATTTTAACAGAATTTTAATCAATTTAATCGATTTGAATCAAAACTACTAAAACCTTAAAAATTAAAATGAAAACAGAAAATGTAAAAATAATTAATTTAATTCAAAATATAAATAAAACAATAGTACAATAGTATCTCAATCATACTAAAATAACACTGGATACAGGGTGTTTACCTGATTTTGTGGTTGTTGATGTCCTCCATTGTAAAGGAGGAATATTCACTAAGTTCTTCATGGTCTGTTTCAGCCTTGGTTTTGGTAAGGATCCCATACATTGGTACAGAAACTAACTGCACAAAAACTTTCTCATCGGGAGATTCGTCATCCTACAAGACATTGACAATTCCTTTTAAGCATATTGGAGTCTACCAATTTTAACTTTTATTTTCAGTTATTGTCAGAACATGTCATTCCTTACCACATAAGCTAACTGGGAACGTCTAATGATTGTGCTGCTCTTCTCCGCCACCTCCATTGACAGCAGGGCCTTAGGGTCACGTTTGGGTGCGTCACCTTTGACCTCTGACACCAAGACCTGCAGCGTGATGGAGGTCATGGAGATCCCGTCCGTCACAGAGAAAGTCATGGAGTCCTCCTCAGTGGTGAGACCCGCATGCTCATACTGCAGAACATTCCTGGTGACGTCACTGGAGGTGAAGGTGTCCCCTGAGGTGAAGGAGAGTTTTGATAAATAAACTAAAGTAACTGAAGCCAGAAAGTATAATAATAAAAAAGAACACCAAAAACCAAAACCAAAAATGCTGTACCTACCATTGACCATCTGGACCTGTGAACCAAGGTCCACTCTCAGGAGGGTCCCGTGTAGCGGCCCCTCCACCAATTCAAACTCTAGTTCTTCAGGGGCCGTATCAGCATCCGTCACTGCTAACTGTTGCCCACCTACATGACATGGAAATGTAAGATTAAAAGGGGCAAATTTTATGTTTATGTTGTGCTAACTGACGTTTTACTGGCACCTAGTGGTGTGGATGTAACTAAGATTTTCAAGAAATGCGCTATTTGTGCTAAAACATGATCTGTTTATTCAATGCGTAAAACTGTCCAAAAAACATGTGTTTAAAAAGTGAGTATTATTTAACTAGTCATGTGATATGACTGCCATCTAAATCACTTGCGAACATGATTTTAAACATTTTTCAAAAGAATTAATCGATTTTTAATGTGTAAAACTTTTTTTTAATGAGGTGTAAAACTTTTTTTAATGATACTGATTGGGCCTTTAAAATACTTATTCATTTACGCTTATTACTTTGTAGCACTTAAGCCAGTACACGTGTCCTTACCCACTGGTGCCCTGCCGCCGAGACTGACCTCCAGCACCGGATCTAGAATCTGAAAGACCGGGGGCTGCTGATGATTGGCCAACAGCATAATAGCAAAGTCCATCTCTGGAGTGGTGTGCTCTCCATCAGAAACTGACATAAGAAAGGGAGTAGGAATAAGTCACACATGCACAAGAACACTGATGACCTTCAGGCCAGTTCTGTCTTCCGCACTTCAGCTCAGTACAGCACAGATGAATGAATGCAACTTAGACACAGGAAGAATGAATCAGACAAAGAGTGAGAGGGAGAGAAAACAGAAAGACCTCAAATGACATGTAACATCATCTCATCCTCCAGACACTAAACATGAGATGTGAACTACAGGGACAACTTGGCACACACAACTATTCAACAACTACTCAGCATTCCTAGTAATATTATTTCTTCATAAATGTCAGCAATGAAGGGCCCATTTAATTAGTGTCGAAATCAGTCTTTTAGCTGCTGTAACCTTCAGAGCTCAAGCAGCTGTGTGACGTGAAAATGTGTAACCATGGTATCCTAGTGTCCTCCAACATAACACTTACTGTCTGCAAGGCAGCACTGCATTGATATTCCTGATATTCTGGTAAGGGGTTTGTTATTAACCTCTAGTATTAACATTAAAGTAACATTAAGTATTAGTCTTCTGCTATTAATTTAGCCTTAATGTACTGCTTAACAGGACAGCTTCTCTTTGGTGACATACTGTATGCAGGACTTCTCCAAACATTTAGTCTTCTTAAACCTGCCCCTGCAAGCTCACATTCATCTGCCTCCACTTCTGAATACGCATGACCAACTTGAACCCACTGCAAAATCTGTTGCAAAAAAATCATTGCAAAATTTGTAAAATCTTTCACTCTCACATGAAATCCTTGATTGCATGTATTTCTACTGAAATTACTGTAATTTCGCCCACAAAAAAATGTTCAGAAATATGGTAAATGTGACTGCACATTTATCTGGTTTTGTATTTTTATAAATGTTCTAGTTTAAGCTAGAAATAAAAGAAACACGTTTGAAAATCCCCTAGTGACTTACACTGCATTAACAATGTAACTGTCAGGAATGCTAAAATAGTCATATTTGTATAATGAATATTGATTGGTCTTGTCTTTCTTGCATTTATGTACAGTAATCATCTATAGCCTCCTTGTCTACATATTTTTGTGATTCTAGTGTGAAATCTGAAAACAAAACACAGTTTGAGTGTCAAATCAACTGCAGAGTGCTTTTACATTTCCCAAAAGAGGAAAATGAATAGAACAGAACAGTGGTGATTTGGTATTAAAAAAGGATAACTCGTATTAATTTATTATGATTTTACAGTAGAAAAAAACTAGTAGCAACTATGCGGTGGAAATTTTTTTTTTAAGGGTAGAAGCGAAGAAGTTGTTTTCAAAATCAAAGTAACAATTTGCATACTTTCAATGTCAATGAGACAAAACAAAGACCTTGATCCTGTCAGAACAATGAAAAAAAAAAGAATAAAATGAAAACATTATTTGAATTTTAATTGTGCATGCTAAAAGATATCAGCTGCTGAGCCGAGATTCTCCGTGTTTTATGACACTGTGTTTGTTGTTTTCCTTCAGCTGAGCTGTATAAGTTGAGTATATGTATGAGGAATAAAAAGCTCTTTTAGCATCGAATTCTGATGCTGCTGTTCTTCTCCAGTCTACTGTTACTCTCCATCCATTTCACTCTATTACTAACAGCACTAAAAGGAGTTTGTCTGCCCTAAAGTGCCCTGTTTCCATCCAGACACAGAAGGGCATATGGGCAGTCACAGCTCGGATTCATGGACACTGCGAGAAGAAGATGGATGCACAGTCATATCCTGCTGTCAGGCAGAATAAAGCATATGGATGGACATCAAAAAGAGAGAGGGAATCATATTCCCTCTTAGGGAAGAGAAGGTCCCATAAATAAATAACAGCAACACACCAGGGAATGTGGGATCAGAAGCACAGAGGGATCTGTTTATGGTGTTTCAGAGGAAGAAATTAATTCTGGGGTTGCTGGAATCGTGTAAGGTAAGGGAGAATAAGGCAGAGTCGCGGGGGGGGGGGTTACAGAGGCCAAAAGTGATTATATACCTGTGAAATGGAGGCTCACTGACTCTGGTAGACCTGCAGCAATGAAACAGTGTTAGTGGTTACTTTCACAATCAACTGCTAACAAATCACAATAATTAGTGTGCAGGGTGAGAGATTATTTCATATTTAAACGGTTAAGCTGGAGAGGTGAGTTTTACAGACTTATGCATCGCTAACAATACCTCAGATGTTGGGTTTGACAGCTCAGAAGCACCAATTAGCATCAGATTAGTACTAAATCAACAGTGTGCTGGCATATTCGCTAATTAACTTCCCACACAAACCGCACACATTTCAAATTGATGAATGTGTCATTATACTCTTGCATGCTACTATTGTTACATCCATTGCAAAGCACTGTAAAAAAAAACTCTGCAACTAAAAATATTTAGGGACTGAAATTTCTAGTTGACTTAAGATCTGTAAATAAATGAATCTGAGCGGCTGCCCTGAAAACTTGCACTCAAGTTACAGTAAAAACAGAAATATTGTGAATTATATAACAATTATATTGTGAATGCAATTTAAAGTAACAGTTTTCTATTTTAATATTGTAACATTTAATTTATTTCAGCAGTCATTACTCCAGTCTTCAGTATCACATGATTCTCAGAAATCATTCTAATATGCTGATTTGGTGCTCAAGAAACATTTTTTATGTAATAAAGTAAAGACTAACCTGTAAATGAGTACTGATAAAGCTCCTGAAGATGGGACGGGGCTTGTGGGGGTCTGTAGATAATTTTGTCACTGTCTACATCAGCCTGTGTGAAGAGACGCACATGATGGTAAAGTCTGTCCCTGTGCTCCAGCGTACCTGAAAGAGGAGAGTGACATCATCATATTAATATTAATATAACAATCAGTTCAGTATTAGAAGTTTAGAAATTAAATGAAATAGAGATTGTGGGATGAATTGAGTTTATTCTGCTTCCTTTATGCATAATTTGAAGTTTCTCATAATGATCTTAGATGTGAAATGTCTTCCCTTCCATTAAAGTCTCAGCAAGATTAACCTTTGAAATCCTCTACTCTCTATTTAATGGTACAAAAAGGAGAACAAAGCAAAACTATCAGGCTTCCATTATGCCTGTAAGTGTCCTACTCCTCACCCCATGACAATAATGGAGGTTTAGTTACCGTGGCCTGAGGTAAGCGCTTTGGTGATGTTGTAGACAAGCTTGTCGCTGGGCGTCTCGGAGTCAGTGAAGGAGAGAGCAGAAGGAGATATCACAGTCACGCGATCTTCCAGTGCCTGCACACACACACACACACACAGAGCCAAAAACATTTACACTGATGAAGACAATAACGTATGGATTTCATTTCCATCAACGTGCTTCATTGGGGTTACTGAAGTCGTCGGCAGCGCTGCACAGGACTTGCTTGAGAAGGATTTGTCATTTTGTTTTTAAACCACGAAATCAACAGTGTCATTAAAGAAGTGTGTTTTTGGTTATGAGTGAAAGATAACCTTGTTCAGCTTCCCAAAGAACCCAGTTTGTTTCTCCAGGGCAGCAAATGTGTTTGTTTGTTCCCGGCATTTCGGTGACGAATGTTTTATAAACAAATTAAATAAAATTGAAGTCAATAAAGTTCTTGTTCCTGTTTTATTTATGTCGATCTCACAGCTTGCAGACAATCGCTTCGCAAAAGCTTTACATGCTCGTGACTCTTTAGCTCCGCCCACGGCACGCCTCCAGGAGCTTGACTGTTTTCAGAGAGAATCGTAAAGCTCTTTTATAAATCTGATAAAACTAAAGACTCTAAAGATGTATGAAGGATGCAGTACTACTCTATAGGTACTCAAGATTAACATGAGATTGGCAGAAACTGTGTGTGTTATGTCCGCTTTAAGCTCCCCAAGGCTGCATTTATTAGATCAAAAATATAGTGATATATAGTGATATATTATTACAATATAATACAACAGTTTTCTATTTTTAAATATTTTAAAGGGGTCATATGATGCGATTTCAATTTTTCCTTTCTCTTTGGAGTGTTACAAGCTCTTGGTGCATAAAGAAGATCTGTAAAGTTGCAAAGACTAAAGTCTCAAATCCAAAGAGATATTCTTTATAAAAGTTCAGAGTCAGCCACACCTACCTAAAATGGCTCGTTCTAACACGCCCCCACATGTCTACGTCACTATGTGGGAAGATTTGCATAACGCCGCCCAAATGTTCACGCAAAGAAAGAATGCGTAACTTTTATTCTCACTGTAGTATTTTTAGTTGCCGCTGCCATGTCGTGAAGACACTGTGTGTTTCGTTGAGGAGAAACAATAATGTACAGTATGTGGAAAATAATGTGTTTTTTTAACTTTAAACCGCATAAACACATTTCATTACACCAAATACACCAAATAATGTTCTTTTTAGCAGCATCATATGACCCCTTTAAAATGTAATTTATTCCTTCCTAATGTGCTCAAGAAACATTTCTTACTTTTATCAATTCTGAAAGCAGTTATATTATATTATATATATTATATTAAATATAAAAATAATAGTCATGATAAATTTTGCTTAGGATTCTTTGATGAATGAGAAAGTATTTTAACAGAGGAAAAACAAAAACACACTTCTATTTCACTTAGAAGTTAAAATTAAAGCAGTGGATACACTGGATGTTAACTAAAATCTAAAGAGACATCTTACAGTGATCTGCAGGTCGGCTCCAGGTGAGAGATGAGGCAGGCCAGGGGTCTGAGGCATCACTCCTATAGTGAAGGTCTGCGTATCACTCAGAGTCTCTGGATAGGCCTCACTTGAAACCTGCCAACAAAAGCACACACACCCATGCATGAACAGATGTAAATAAATGTATAAATAAATATTTATAAATGTATAAATAATTATAAATAAACACCAAAGTGTACATGTACTCGTTCCCACTATAAAATATAAGCTCTCAAAAACAAATTTTAACAGTTCTCAGTCAATAATTGGCAATAATCAATGTACTACGTAACTAAAATCACTCTCAACATCAATACACATCCTATTTTTGAGATTTTTAATTCGCTCTGTGACTGTCATTAATTCGAATACAAATTCATTTCAACAGTGAAGTCTTGAGCAGACACCTAACAAATAGGCTGAAGCACTTCACGGTCACAAAACCCCCCCTGAGGACATAAACCAAACTGTGTCGAACCATTAAAACTCAAATCTTATTTAATGAAGTCTGCGGCACAGGGTGCAGCCTCAGGCAAGACGAGAAGAGAAAAGATTTTCTCGAGGACGACAAAAAAAACTGTTGTGTCAAGAGTCATCAGGGGTTTAAGCTGATGAATTAAATGTGATTGAATGTCCTTTAATGCTGCTTACACTGATTTGAAACTGGATTTGAAGACAAATTAGCTCATTTATACCCAAGTAATCCAGTGAGGCTGGTGAAGGAGAAGTAGATGGACAAATTGGCCTACGAGCGTGAAACAGAGCTGAAGTAAAATAGAGAAAATAGTCCAATAAGGTGAGAGAAAGGAACAATAGACTACGTTTACATGGACATCAGTAATGTAAGTATTTACCTTATTCTAAATAAGCCAATATTATGATTATGGTGTTTACATGAGTTGCTTTTAGAATATTCCTTTCATGTTCCTGTTTTACATGTTATAGTACATAGATCGATTAATGGCACACGTCATTACGTCCCCTCCGTAATTTCACATATAAACATATAGTTCGTCTTCGCGACGATGCCATGTACAGTTTTGGGTGTTTAATTTTTAACTTTTGAAAGCTTCAAGTGCAGTTAATTATTTGTATGTGCAAACAGACGATGGCGGTGTTGAAGCTCTTTTATTTGCCGTCAAACGGTTGACCACTGCCGTGTGTGTATCCTGTCGCAAAATGCGGCGTAAAGTCCTACACGACGGTAACAATGTGATTAAGGTGTTTACATGTCTATACTGCACTTCAGTAATGCGACTAAAATAGGAATACTCCACATGTCTTAATTCGATTTCTGTTTACTTCGGATTAAGGTAATCAAAAATCTCTGTTTACATGGTAGATTCTGAATCAGAGTATTGTCTTAATCGTATTAAAATCGGAGTATTGTTGTCCATGTAAATGTACTCAATGTGTTTATCTCTCTAAGAGATTTGTGTACGCTTCATAACAGGAGATACGCTGATCTAAAAGTCTGCTGTTGTGTGTGTGAGAGAGAAAGAAAAGTTCCGTTCAAAAGTTTGGGGTTGGCAAGATTTTTTATAATGTTTTTGAAAGAAATTTCGGTAATACTTTATTTTAAGGACCAATTCTCACTATTAACTAGTTGCTTTTTAGCATGCATATTACTAGCATTTTGTCTGTTTATTAGTACTTACAAAGCACATATTGATGCCTTATTCTGCATGACCACATTCTAGATCCCTTAATCCGACCCCATACCTAAATTTAACAACTGCCTTAACTAACTATTGATAAGCAGCTAATTTGGAGTTTGTTAAGGGGAACTCTTAGTTAATAGTGAATATATGTTCCCTATCCTAAAGTGTTACCAAAATTCCTTGCATTCATTTTATGAAACTGTGAAATTTAGGGATGCACCGAAATGAAAATTCTTGGCCGAAGCCGGAACCGAACAAAATGAAACACTGGGCCGAAGGCCGAATACCGAATACCGAATACGGTTTTTCGAGTTTTTTTACTTTGAACCCTGGTTAACAAGCAGATCTGCTGTGAGTTCGTGCAGCGCTGTCAGAATACATGCGATGCGCGCGTGTATTAGAAAACATAACGTTCTGCAGTTTATTTACTAATTGTTTAAGGCCATTTCGCGATTTCAATCATCATACAGAAACCAGCAACAATCACCCCTTCCTCTTCTCATTGAAGACATGCGATGCAGTCCTAAACAGTCTCTCGCTGTCGGTGCTTGTAATGATTTTTGCGTCTTTCTCCGACAGTTTAAATGCTTCCACTGGTTGCTATTTGATCGCGTCATATCATTGTTCGGTACAAATTATTCGGTCTTTTCGCTTATTCGAATTTCTGTTGCCGAACATTCGGTGCATCCCTAGTGAAAATATTGTGAAATATTATTACAATTTAAAACAACTGTTTTCTATTTTAATATATCAACAACATGCAATTTATTTCTGTGATGGCAAAGCTGAATATCTAATAGAAAGTTCAAAAGAACACCGTTTATTTGAATATATAACAATGTAAAAGACTTTACTGTCACTTTTAAAGAATTTAATGAATCCTTTATGAATAAAAGTTTTAAGTTCTTTAAAAAAAACAAACAAAACTTATTAACCCCAAACTTTTGTCTGGTGCTTCGAGCATGGAAGAGATTTTAACAGTGACTGTTGGATGTGCATGTGATGAAAGCTAATGTTGATGATTTATGTCTGAAGTGGGCCAATCAACAAAAAAACACCCTAATGAAACAAGAGCAGAACTTCAACAGATTAAGACACGAACCCTTGCCATTCAATTGCAAATCAATATATAACACAAAAAGAATTATTTCTAACCAGTAAGAAGTTGAGTGGCACCTATGGCTTTACATACTGAGACACAGGGCTTTTGCCAAAAGCCAACTGTGCGCGTCTCACCTGAAACTGAAAAGTGTCTCTCTGTGATCCGGATCCATAGTGTCTGTACCAGACAGTCCCTTCATTAACATCTTGCTGTGTAAATGAGCTGGTTGGTGTGGTGTCCTGAGCATCTGGGAAGGACTGCCATGCCTCCACAGGACCGTCAGCGGGCATAGACACCAGCACAATCTCTCCTAGATACATAAACATATAAGATACCTTTAGAAAGAAGCATTTTACCTTAGTTCATTGCATTGAATCGAGTTTAGAAAGAAAGACTGACATTAAGTAAGGAATGCTAGAGACAGATGATGATGATACCGTATGTGGGCTGTCCGCTCTCAGAATGAATGGTGTACAGGATTTCAGCGTCACTGGTTCCTTGGAAATGAGCACTGAGGCACTTCTTAGACAGCCGCACCATTCCTCCCTCCCTCACCCAGGTCCTGGGCACTGAACGCAGGTGAGGAGTCAATCCAGCCTACAGGGAAACCATAATGCACCATTAGGATTAATGGTATGTTCATTTCAAGCATGTACCTTATAAAAAATAAGTTAAGGTTATAACTTCCTCTCACCAAGACTGCATTTATTTGATGAAAAATAGTAAAAATGGTAATATTGTGAATTATTAGTACAATTTAGAATGACTGTTTTCTATTTGAATATATTTTAAAATCTAAAAGTCTTTAGTGTTACAGTCTGATTTGCTGCTATAAAGAAACATTTCTTATTGTAAATATTGAAAGCAGTTTATTAATATCTTTATGGAACCTGTGATACGTTTTTCAGGATTCTTTAATGTATAGAAAGCTCAAAAGAAACGAAAATGAAATGTGTACAAAATATTTCTAAGTATTCATTTCTTTTACAAAATGTAGTAACTTCAACCCTTTTTCAAAGTTTACCATTAGGTTGAACTTTTTGCAGTTGTGAAGTTTGTGCAGCGGTTTAATGATGATAAAACCACAAGAAAATGTCTTTCTTGCATTTTACATTGAAAAACATCAAAGCTACAAGAAAATCACAAAGACACATGCGAATCATACATACTCAGCTACTGCTATGCCAGGAATCTTTAGATCCTAACAGGGCTCTGAACATCCCAGCGCTAGCTGAGGAGCTCATTGTGGTGAATAAGATCTTCTGCTTCACAGATAATCAAAGACCTTCAAGGACGTGGAGAGATGAAAAGCCCGATTCACTGAGGAAACACCCTGGCACCCTTCCTGCTGATCCTGATCACCCCTCTGAGAGCGGGACGGATTTATAAAGCAAAGCGTTCACGGAAGAGTTCACTCATAGGTCAAAACTATAGTCTGTTTCTAAAGAGTCTCATAGCTTAATTCAGAGTTTTGCTACATTTCATGTAGTGCATTTCTACCTGATCTGACCCTTAAAAATTACTTTTGCTGGGGTAACCAACTGTACTCAGGTTGATTCATGCATATTACATAACATTTTTGACTTCAATCGGAATTTGATGTTACCACATGAAACCATTTTTTAGGTTACCTGCAAAACATCTTGTACAGTGAAGGTGATACATGGCAAAGTGTATTTTCTTTCTTTCTTTCAAAGTGGGTTTTTGAGGTCTCCAGGCCACATTAAATCAAGGATCATTCACCAGTGCTGACCAATTACATGGATCAGGGACTACAAACACCAAGCGACTTCTCTCGAAAAGGCTAATTGAAAGCCAGCTTCCGCTTTTATTCCTCTTTGTCTTCATTGCCGAAATCCACATATTAAAATCTTTTGAGATCAGGAAGCTTGCTTCCAAACCCAAAGCCACAATCAATAAAGAGGGCATTAACCCACAGTCGTCATGTTGCCTACTCAGCCTTCACCTCTGTCTGCTCTCAACACCTTGTGTTGCGGACGTAACTTGACCTTTCCACTCACTGGTAGCTGTGTGAATGCAATAGGCCTTTATGCGATTCTGCCCAATAAAACTTACTGCTATCCTACTAATAAAAACGAAGTGCTATTGATTTGAAAACAGAGTGTTTACTGTGAAACGGGGCTTCCATTAGTCCGCTTAGGATGGTAGATAACAGGCTGCAGCAGGGAACAAGGCAGGTGTAATCGGATGACACTACAGAGAGATGTGAGGATAAGGGTGTATGGAAGGGGGACAGAGCTTCAGAAGAGCAAACAAAGTGCTGCAATCTGTCTAGACATCAGCAGGCTGAGGGCATGTCAAATAGTCAGGAATGGGTGATTTCAAGTGTAAAAGGGGTGATGGTGATTGTATAAGTGTGTATGGATGGAGAGAGGTATGAGAGGTGTTCACCCTGTAAGGAAAAACACACTATGCACTGCATCAATTGTGTCTTAATGCACCTGCACTGTCAGAACAAATGTGCAAAATTGTACCCTTAAGCGTACTTATATCTGTACCATAGATACCTCTACAGGTTACATATTAGTACCTTAAAGGGGTCATATGATGCGATTTCATTTTTTCCTTTCTCTTTAGAGTGTTACAAGCTCTTGGTGCATAAAGAAGCTCTGTAAAGTTGCAAAGACTAAAGGAGCTTTGTAAAAATCGACGCGTTTCAAAAAGGCGGGGCATAGAGGAGAAACAATAATGTACAGTATGTGGAAAATAATGTGTTTTTTTAACTTTAAACCGCATAAACACATTTCATTACACCAAATACACAAAATAATGTTCTTTTTAGCAGCATCATATGACCCCTTTAAGGTGTAAATATGATCGTGTGAGGGAACAGACACAGTAGTTTGTATGCTATGTGATCACAAACAGACCCCAACAGTACACTGTAAAAGTGGTAATCTGTAACTGAATTTGAGCTTTTAAAACCCTTTAATGGGGGGGTTTCAAACCCAAAATATTAACCTCACTTGCAAGGGATTCCCTTCTTAAATTATAACGGAAGCTATATAATTTTATGCATAAAGAAAAATCTGTGTGCTGGATGCTGGGGCCTATCTCAGTGTCTCTAGCTGAAAGCATGTATAAAGACCCATTTATACTTAATTATACTTAATTCATGCTTATTAATAATATAAGTATTAATCTTGTAACATTTTGTTTCCAAATCAAATAACTGGCTTTTTGTAATATGCATGTAAGCACATTATTAAAATATTAACCTTATAAACTTTGAAAATAAACACATTTGTTTATAATTTCTTACTGTTTAAAAACAATAGGTCATAATTTCTGACCAGTCTTTAGAAACAATAATAACATCTGTTTTGAAATAATGTGTTTATATATTATATAAAATATTGATATTGATTTTATATCTTAAATTAATTGAAGTCTTAATCTCAAAATTTCCACACCACTCCTTTGCAGTACCTTGGAATTCTCCAGAATTTAGTTTAAAAACCACTGGGAAAATCTATTTAGGTCTAATAAGTGATGTTATATATTTTTTTTCAGTGTACTCTTTTTGAGTGATTTCATCATGACAGTGGGCATAAATCACACCTAAATCAAGAAATAATGCAGCAGTAGCCTAAGGCTCAATAATCAAGGTGTTACAGCATCAGGTGGAGCGCATGAATCCATAATTAGCCAAAAATCCTTGATTTAAGTGCATAACAGCTGATTACCTGCTTTTTTGCACTTAATATTTTTTACATTAACATCAAAGTACATGACAGATTGATAGGCCTATAAACAATCATAGGTAACCAGTATTCAGTTGTTAGTTCAAAAATAGCACATTTATAACGTTTAAATAAATTCCCAATCACAGAAAAAATTAGAAATTAAACACATTTAGCTGAACATTACAAAAAACAGAGCATGTCATTTCAAAGAATATAAAACTCCATGATAAGCAGACTAGCACTTCACAAAAGTCTGGTAAATTTCATGAAGGATTACCTAATCTTGAAAGAATCCTTTTTGATCAGGTGAACTGTCACTTAGCAAACCTTTTTTAGAGTAAAACCTGTCATGTCCGTACCTTTTGGGCAATGCTGATGTGAAACAGGATGTTCTGGTAGCTGTGCCCATCATTGACCTGCAGCAGAAGTCTGTCCTGGTCTCCTTCTGAACCATCATGTACATACTGCAGCTGCTCACGATCCAGGTCTTCCAGTTTAAAATGGGTCACCTGCACATCACCATGCATGTGTGTCAGGTGGCCATGTTGAGGTGGATCCAGAACCGTGATGAAAACGTCTTGTGGATTATCGAGGTCACTGATGTGAAGAATAGATCTGCTGATGACGGCTGTCTCACCAGAGTTAATGTACAGAATTTGGTTGGTGATCACAGTGGGTGGCTGTGAAAGGGGTAAAAAAAAACATTAATATAGAATTCAAACCCAGTTTCAATAAATCAGAGGAAAGAGAACATATTTAATGATTTAATATTTGAGCCCCAATGTCCTTAGTTTGTATTCTTTTGCATCTACATACAGTATTTTCCCATTTTTATTTTGTAAATTAAGGCATGCAGAGGTGAGAATCCTATCAGTGCTACTGTAGCTCAAATGAAAGACAAGATGTGCAAAGGATCCAACCTTACTTTATCTATCATAACTTCATTCTGTTATTTTTGGCCTAATTCTAATATATAGTCAAAGAAAAGAGATGGCAAATGCTGCAGGCAGATTCAAACTTGTGTTGTCCACATGAGCACCAAAGCATTTTATACACAATACGCTTTTTGTTTAAAGCAATTCACACTAATGAACATTCATTAGGTTGCTGTCGACAGAGCTGTGGAGAAAATCAGGCCACTTTTGTTTACCACTTCACATGGAAGACAAGAGTAAACGGTATACTTTCAAAATACAATCTTTTTCTTATTTAAATTTGTAGTTAAAACAACTAAAAATAAATGTATTTTAAAGATTAGAATTAGACAGCCTTTGCACACAGGCTTACGCTGAAAACAACAAAATGGAACCTCAAGGTTGATCTAGGAAAATGTGTGCAAATGTATAGGGCCCCATTCCTATATTTTGCCTGGGGCCCCCAATTCACTAAATCCGCCCCTGCTTGTAGGAATAGATTTGCTTTCCTCTCTCTCTTCACTTTAAGATACAGGTTCTATATTTCAGCTATTACTGCTCACTCAACAGCAGGAAGTGAGCTTATCAGTCCATGAGGGGCAGGAATGTATTTTGGGTGTTATTTGTTGCAATGACATCCATTAGATTTCTGTTGGGGAGCTCAGGTTTCTGTGTGTGTGTGTGTGTGTGTGTGCTGTACAGTTCTCTGGAGACTGTATCTATGAAGTGTAACTAAATGCTGCAGAGGAATGAGCAACACAGAGAGAGTGAGAGAGAGAAAGGGAAGAGATGCTGGCTCAGTATGAGCTATAATGCCCTCCTCAGAGTGAGGATAATGGCCAATCAATCTATGTTAAGAATGTGGACTATGGGTGTAAGCAAAGATGAGTATACAACAGAAAGGGTCCAATTTTACATTTCTATTTTACATAGTCAAAATCATACCTTTTCGAAAACCAGAAATTTTTAATAAAGGAATCATAACTTTCGTGACACCCAATATGATGACTATAGAAACGGAATGATGTTATGAAAATGTTCGTTGAGTAAACTTATCTGCCCTTAATAGACTGTCCTCTATGCACCTCTAGCCATCAGTAAAAATTTGGACAGCCTTGACTTAATTTATATTTTTCTTAAAAACTTAATGTAAAGGTGTACAGTATGTTTAAAATCCAGGTGAATACGCACTTGATTTAATCTAGGCAACGACAGGCGCGAATGTGTCAAAGAGTGTTAAATACTTGCTGTGAGTGTTTAAAGGCTGTAAAGAAAAGCCCTAATATGGGGATAGTCTGGTCATGTTTTATGCAAATGACTAACCTTGGGCACACGGTCACTCATTCAGAATATTCCAACTTCATTGGGGGCTGTGCCGGGGCTAAGCAAGTTTCTTATGGGCCCCGTCAAGCCCCGCCCTAGCGCCACCACTGATTAGCCTAATTCGTTTTGGCTTGTTTAGCAACTTATATTTTTCATTTTTGTTTTCTTCTGAAACCGTTCAAATTTGCCTATAGGCTAGGTATTGTGTTTATTATTTGTACATTATAACATTTCGCTTTATTTACCGGTGTTATTTATGAATGTAATAATGCGATTTGTGCTTACTATATTTTTTTAACCTAAACTACAACGTAACATTAATGTAGACCTACATACCGGTTTACAAATATGATTTCAAATATTTTATGCTATATAGATCTACCACATTACCCTCCACTGGATGTGAGCAGCAATAAACTACATTTTGGCTTTTTATAATACTTTTGTGGATATTTTGGTGAAAGTAACTCAAAAGTAACTCAAAAGTAGTGTAACGCATTACAATTTAGACACAGTAATATTGTAATGTAACTAATTACTTTCAAAAGACAGTAACTAGTAATATATAATGTATTACATTTTGGAAGTAACTTACCCAACACTGTTCATTACCATTAGAACAAGGTTACTCTTGTGCATACAAATACGAAATAATTCATGCAATTATTAGTAAATGAGACCCATAGTCATCACAGAATCCTGTCTCTTTTTTGTTGTATTTGTCTTGTGACTGCAGAATAAAGCTCCATTACTCAGCGTTCTTACACAAGTGTGTGTGTGTGTGTGTGTGTGTGTGTGTGTGTTTACCTGCTGGGAGAGCGCCTGCACTGGAACACTCTGAGGCTGAGAGAACAGCTGAGGATCTGCTGCCCTTAACATGAACTGCCCACTTCTGCAAAACAAGCCAACATTACACTGTTGTGAACAGATTCAAGGATATAAATAATGAGTCAGGGTTTGCCTACATTTCACTAAAAAATCTGAAATCATGTATATTGTGGGGACCAGCTAAAAGAAAATGACTTGGTAAACATACTAAATAATGTCATACTGTTGAAATAACCACAGCAAATAATGTCTTAATGAACATTTTTAGCTCAGTCTCTAAACAATACAAGTCCATGGGAAGTAATAGTTTCTATTTCACATTGTGACAAAAACAAACGTGTGTCTGTGTGTAAAGTGGACGAAAACAACAGAAAAAGACACAATGCATAAAAGACTTAGAGAAGCAAAAGGCAGAGACCAAAATTAGAAAGACTGAGTGGCTTTTAAAGAGACTGAAAAAGGTCACATTTGGGAAAAAGAGGGATGAGGAACAAAATAGAAGTGAGAGTGTGAGGGCACACAGATCACTTGTTAATTAAACCACAGAGCTGAAGGGAGCGAGAGGAGCCATTAAAGAGATAAACTGAGAAAGTTGAGAGAAAACTGAAGGTCAGCAGTCAGCCTGACTTAGTGACTGCCTAACGTGATCATCACAAATGCTGTGGCTTATGAGCACTGTGGGGTGTGTGTGTCCTGTCAAATGCCTCACCAACTTCACCGAGTTAATTAAAGCTAATGACTAGCGCACACTACTCAAACTCAGTCCATCCCCCAAAACACACACACACTCGAAACCCTCTCGCCTTAATATAACGTTGTTTTACTCCTGCACGGCATCTAAATATGCAAAATCTGTCTGTCTAAGCAGAAATGGGCCATATCCCACAGGAATGACAAACAAGAGTCGCCACCTAAAGTGATATTTCAGGAGATGAGGAATGAAATCTTTTACATGAACTATAAACAGTGAGTAAACAATATGTAATTAATGATTGTAGACTTCTATATATCATCTAGTTCATATATACTAAACACACACACACACACACACACACATTACATATGTACATTCACTCATTCTTCAATTTATGAGATGCACTGGTGTGTGTGTCCTGTCAAATGCCTCACCAACTTCACCGAGTTAATTAAAGCTAATGACTAGCGCACACTACTCAAACTCAGTCCATCCCCCAAAACACACACACACTCGAAACCCTCTCGCCTTAATATAACGTTGTTTTACTCCTGCACGGCATCTAAATATGCAAAATCTGTCTGTCTAAGCAGAAATGGGCCATATCCCACAGGAATGACAAACAAGAGTCGCCACCTAAAGTGATATTTCAGGAGATGAGGAATGAAATCTTTTACATGAACTATAAACAGTGAGTAAACAATATGTAATTAATGATTGTAGACTTCTATATATCATCTAGTTCATATATACTGAACACACACACACACACACACACATTACACATGTACATTCACTCATTCTTCAATTTATGAGATGCACTGTAATGCTGTTAATGACAGTAATGCATTTTAATGCTATCGGTGACAGAGGACATATCTCTTGGTCTGCCAATAAATTATGTTTTTAATGACTCCTGAATATAAATTAAATTTCCTGGGGAAATAACCCTGGATTAATTCCATCACTCCATGCTACACACATACTCACTTGGGCTGCTCTTTGTCGTGAATGAAGCGCACAGCTCTACGTTTGAGCTGAGTCAAGGTGAAAGTGTCGTCTCTGCCCAGTGCTCTCTCTCTGTCATTTTCCAGGACCACGAGATGGCCGTTACTGGGTGGCTGAAGGAGCTGGAGCAACATGCTTTCTGACTGGCTATCTGCATCCTTGATTGACAGGAGTGCCGGATCCAGAGGCTTAACTCCACCAATAGGAACCAGCAGAGAGCCATTGATGTAAAGAGATGGAGCACGGCTGTTTGCTGTAACAAAGGTGGATGTGATGTTCAAATACTCTTACAGTCTTAACAGCATAAAAAGTAACAGATTTCCCCTGAATTTTGGCAAAAAAAAAAAGGGGGAAAAAATGTATTTATTAGGGATGCACGATATTATCGGACCAATATCGAAATGGCCGATAATGGCTTTAAATGTAAATATTGGCATTGGCCCAAGATTAAAAATTATGCCGATATGTCTTGTCGATAAGAGGAATACATTAACTCACATGTGCTCAGGGTGTGTTAGCGATTACATCACGTCAGCATTGTGGCTCATTCTTGAAGCAAAGTTTTGCCTGAATGATGATTAGATTCACTGTTTTGGATCGCTGCATTTAAACTGAGAATGCGTGTACAGAATGAGCGTTTGGTGTATGATAGTAAACAGTGATAGCACGTACAGCGGCAGCCTCCCCCGGGTCCTAATGCCTGCTCAGTAAGGAGTTTTAATTCCATAGGGGGCGCTGTTGGCCTACTTCTAATAAAATGAAAGCAAAATACACAAATAATATTTAGACATCTTTTAGAAATCTTCAATGTACCGTCATTATAAAATAACTTTATTATTGTTTATTTAATTCGAACAAATAAGTTCTTGTTAAAAACTAACCAAAATTTAAAATTATTGTATCTGTATCGGCATCGGTTATCGGCCAAAATGAGTCGAAAATTATCGGCATATCGGATATCGGCAAAAATCCAATATCGTGCATCCCTAGTATTTATAACATTTATTTCTATCAGATATGTGAAGTAGAAAGTCCTGGTTACCACGACAGGCTCTTGTTTTTCGGTCAGCATAGTATCCGTGACCACAGTCCATGATGCACTGGCCACCCTTCAGAAAGGAGTTCTCAGCACAGACACGGCACTCACCTGCACTCACACACTCCAAGCAACCAGCTGAGCATGCTGGGAAATAATAGCAAACAATCTGTCATCAGATTCAGGTAGAACACGCGAGGGAACTGCGTCACACCATACTGAGCGCCTCTAAAATTAGCAGGTTTGTAAAGATGCCAAAATGGCCAATCTAGGCAATCACAATCACTCGCTCAGACCAGATTCAGAGCACTCACCGGTGCACTGACGGGTCGAGGCATCTAGAAAGTAGCGCTTGCCGCATTCCAGCACACACTGCCCATTCAACATGGCATATGGCAGCTGGCAGAGTTGGCATCGGCCATGGACCTGGCACTGCTCGCAATGCTCATCACAGCCTGTTCATGGAAAGAATAAGGGAGAGAAAGCTGAAGACACAAAATTTGATTAATATTTTATGAGATCCAAGTTTTTGTCTATCACTTTACATACTAAATTTTTTTTTAAACCTACAATTCTGCCATTACTCCAGACTTCAGTGTCACATGATCCTTCAGAAATCATTCTAATATGCTGATTTGCTGCTTACGAAACATTTCTTATTAACAGTGTTGAAAACGGTTGTGCTGCTTAATAATTTTGTAGAAATTGTGATGCTTTTTTTCAGCATTCCTTGAATAGAAAGTTCATAAGAACAGTATTCATTTGGAATATAAATCTTTTATAACATTACAAATGACCTTACTGTCACTTTTGATCAATTTAATATGTCCTTGCTGAATATAAGTATTTATTTATTTGCTGACCCCACACTTTTACATTTATTATAAAAAATATATATATTTTTTATTATTACTATTAATTTATAATACATTAAAAACAGATTAAAATATAATGCATCTTAAATAAATTTAGGTTCCTCTGTTGTATTCAGCTAAACTGCTTTAATATCATTGAGTTAAATACTACATGCTACAATAACTGGATAATGCTGGTTAATTAAAATTCACTAAAAATTCTTAGAAGTCAATCTAAGACTGAAGAAAGTGAATTTTAAGTAAGAGTCAGAAGCTTCTTCAATCCAGTCCATAACTACAACATTGCTGATAGACTTGTCTTTCAGTCTCATTTGAAATCAATCCATTAAAGTGCCATTAAACCTCAGCTATGGAGCAGCGCCTGATGTTGGCACTATACAGCAGACATTAGTGGTCCTCTCACCCTCCCCTACTGTGACAACTGACTGAGAGATTGAAATGTCAAAGTTTATTGAGCTGGAAAATTGCTTGGATGGACTCATAATGAAGGTTGTTATTTTTGTTGATGACTGACTCAGACATCTCTCAGCATCCTGGTAGAATCCCGGTGAGCAACCCGGCACACAAATGCCATCCTGCAGGACGTATCCCTCCATGCACTGCAGACAGTCACTACGCAGGGGTCCACGGCACGCGTTACAGCTCCAGTCGCACTCTGAGAGAAAGAGAAAGAGAAAGAGAAAGAGAACGAGAGAGTGAGTGGGAGAGATATAAAAAGAAAATATGATTTAGAAAAAAGACAGGATGAATTTCCATTAGCTGTTACTTTACTGTTGATGTTAGCATGGCGGCAAAACTATATTGACCAATTAAAAGCTATTAACACAACAACACATTTTATGAGGGACATTTGATTTAAATTTAAGGTTAATATGTAATATGTTAAACTGTGACACTTATAAAACCAAAAATAGACAGTGCACCTAAGCCTGAAATTACCTGCAAAACCAAGCTTGAATAGTGTCTGTACAAAAAAGAAATATGAGGGATTTCAATACGCCGCTTGACTTACAATGAGAAAGAGAGACAATGTTTCAGTTCTCAAATCATCTATTAAAGAGAGCGCTAGCCAACCATTTGATAACTCAGCAGCAGACCTCCGCTCTCTAAATCAGCTCAGCTCATTAAAAAGTCCCATCTTGCTCTTTCTGTCATCACTGTATCTATATAACCCTTATCATCGCTACCCTCATTCACCAAATCCATCCTCCCAAAATATTTCAAACATTCAATTGAAAAAAACAGTGGCTAACTTCATTTAACACTACATCCAATTCAAACGTCTGCTGTGCAGCTCATTTGTCCATGTGAGACTGTGTCCTTCTTTCACATTACCCATCCATAAAGACACAAACAACAATGTCATGCATTATTAAAATATTGTCAAGGTAACCTTCATTCACGGTACTGCAGGGGTAAACAACTTTACATACAGTATCTGTAAAGCATTCATATAATGATGGTCATATGATGCGATTTCATGTTTTCCTAGATCTGAATATGACTTGGCAGTCAACTGTAAAGAAGGGACAGGTTTAAGTGGATTGGAGACGTCAGCAGAAAAATATATACTGTTTCAAAGACATTTTGATTAAAAGTTACAAAATCAAAATTTGTTTTACAAAAATAACCCATATGCATTAATCAAAATAAGATCAATATGATGCATTTAGAAAAAAGATAGGATGAATTTCCATTAGCTGTTACTTTACTGTTGATGTTAGCATGGCGGCAAAACTATATTGACCCATTAAATTCAATTTTTTCCTTTCTCTTTGGAGTGTTACAAGCTTTTGGTGCATAAAGAAGATCTTAATAAAGTTGCAAAGACTAAAGTCTCAAACCCAAAGAGATATTCTTTATAAAAGTGAACGCTCAGCCATGACCTTCCTAAAATGCATCGTTCAAACATGCCCCCACATGTCTACGTCACTGTGTGGGAAAATTTGCATAACACTGCCCAAATGTATACGCAAACAAAGAAGGCGTAACTTTTCTACTCGCTGTAGTATTGTTGCTGCCGCCGCCATGTCGTGGAGACGCTGTGTTTCGTTGCGAAAGCCAAACTACTTTGTTTGGTCTTCCAAAAGAGGACACAACTAGAAATCAGTTGTTAAGTTTTATTTACAACACTGTTCCAGAACAGTACAATCCAAAATAGCTGGCCAATCAGCGTACACCTCGCTTTTCAGAACGATGAGCTTTGTAAAAATCGACGCGTTTCAGAAAGGTGGGGCATAGAGGAGAAACAATAATGTACAGTATGTGGAAAATAATGTGTTTTTTTTTTTTACCTTAAACCGCATAAACACATTTCATTACACCAAATACACAAAATAATGTTTTTTTAGCAACGTCATATGACCCCTTTAATGTTTTCTTTCTGCTTCACTCGAGATCACTCATACACATACACACACACACACACCCAAATACTCAAGGGACAAAAACTAATCTCTATCTCCTTTTGATCTCCTCTGTAAATCCCATCAAAATGAAAGAAAGGTCTCACAGTATGGGGTCTATGTTCAACATCCAAACCCCAAACCACATCGTATTAAGATCTGAACACACTCACAATTATTAACAAATAATCTTCTCTGCAATTACTCTTGCTAGCGTCTTCATAATGATCCTCTGTGAAATATATTTGACCTTATTTATTAGAATTGGATGCATCCTCTTTTTCCCAGCTGTTCTGTGTGAGTTTAAGTATGTATGTTAGATATAATGGACTGATGGACTGGACAGATTTTAAAACACCACGTATCATACATTTGCCAACTTTGTAAGTGGTTACAGAGAAAAACTGGGCATCACTACCAGACTTTCAAGTCATTCCGAACACAACAAACTCATGCTGAAACTTGCGCCTTGTTGCTAAGGAGACGCGTGACAAATGAAAACAATATGTGTTCTAAAATCACCTCAAAATATCAAACATGTTTGAATTCATAGTCTGAAGCTAAACAGTCTGGGTCCATCATACACACTATGACTTTCTGAGAGATCTGTGAAGTGTATTCCAGCCTTTATATGAGGAACGTTTAACGTCTATGAAGAAACAAAAAAAGTTGCTGAGCAGTTCAAAGGCAATGAATACAACAAACATACAAATCAAAGAATCATGTTTATAGACAAGTAAAACTAAAAGTGTAGTTTAACAATACAGGATCAGTAATTTAAATAATTGTGACAGTGCAACCGGGCTGAGACTCACCTCTGCATGTGCGTGTGGTGGTGTTCAGGTAGTACTGATGAGCACAGCTCTCATACTGACACTCCCCAAACAGAAGCACTTTAGCTGGATCTCTACACGACGTACACACACCCGCCATCTCACAGCTCAGACACTGAGCGTCACACACTGAAACACACACAATAATCATTTAATCAATACTTATCAGACAGACAGATGCACTTTAAGTAAAGGTGTACCTACTTTGGCACACCCTGTTTTCATCAGCGTAATATCCATTTGGACAGCGAGGGCTGCAGAGACCTGATGGGGCCAGAACCTCAGGGGCCAAACAGGAAGTACAGGAGTGAGGACCATCCCCACTGCACTCCTCACAGGAAGAGTGACATTCTGGAGAACACAGACACAGGACAGTACGAATGAAGACTAGACAATTATGTCAAATGTTTCTTAACTTTGGATACAAGGAAAGCAAGCAAGGTTTAATTTACACCTTAATATAATACTATATTATGCAAAGGTGTACTATAAATAAACTGTGAACTGGTGTTGTATTTAATATGTGTAAAAGATCCAAACAACTGATCTAGACAGGACTCAGTTTTAGCAGATAAAGGTTATTAAAACCTTAGAATCTTGAAAAACAGAGCAACACTTCTATTAATTTTGACATTTTAATCAGTGCTGTTGCCAATTTCACGACAGCATTATAAAGACAGAAGACTTAAAAGGAATACTGTTGACATCCTACACTTGTATTCAGAAATTCCCATTCACATATGACTTTTAGTCTGCTGTCAACTTGACATATCACCTTCAAACAGGCCAAAGACATTTGACAATGCTAAGTGCAAGTAAATTGCATTAATGGTCTTTTGCCTTTAATGCACATAGAGCGTTATATATGCACATTTGCGTGTAAACACTTTTGTGCACATACACACTCCCTTGATATCACACGAGAACCAGGCAATTAAAGAAGGTCATAATAGTTTATAGATCACATCAGCATCTTAAAAGATTCTGCATTAAAGCCGGGCACTATATCATACTCCCTAATAAAAACAAATGCACCGTCTCATCTACACTGTCAGCAAAGGAGCCACTTTCAAAGCATCACAGGTAATTGCATCAGGGTTATGAAAACAGAGGCTCCGGCTATATCACATTGAGAGATCATGTAGAATGACAAACTAGTGCATAAAGAGGATGCTGGTGCTAAGATAAGACGCTGTGTGAGACTGATGATGCTCAATCTACATAATGAAACTTAATGCTGGAAATAAAGCAGCACACGGTTTTCTCAGAGGAAGACAGTTAGATGATGTTGAAAGATGGAATGAATTATCATTGTGTGATGCAGATTAGGGATGCGCTTGAACAAACTTTGAAAAGCTTATGGCCAAGGTTGCGAAATCACAATGAATTCATCAAAATAGTCATTAGTTGCAACCGTACAATTTACCGTTTGCTCAGAAGGCCTACTTTTCAGATTCATTTATGACTATAAATAGCGAAGCTTCACTGCTCCCATTATTTATTCATAAATATGTTCTAGATGTCATGTGAACATGTTGATTCTTAACTTTTACTTGAAAATTGTACTTGATTTCATGCATTAATCTTACAGTATGTTTATAGCATCACATATTGCCACTGCATTATCTCACAAATTCATTGCAAATCATATTTTTTGTACATTATAATTAGAATACAACATGATTTCCTATATATTAGAGCATAAACTTAATAAGTGACTCTAGAATAAGTAATATTTCTTAGTAACAAATTTGATGTGTGTTGTTGCTTGATCTAGGATTGTTCTGCATAATAATGCAGTGGGTCATATGTAGCCTTACGAGGATGAGATCAAAATTCTGTCTGTACGCATCTGGTTGTGGGAACGAGCTTAATTTTTTGCTCTGAATTCATTTTAACTTACTTTTGCAAGCTCTGTGCCACCGGTAGTATTTGGGTGGGCACTGTGGTACACAGTGATCTCCCAGCAGCAGCATCCTGGGAAACTTACACCACAAACACACAGTGCCAAAGCCAGAATGCAGGTCTGCCACACACCGCTGGCATCCCTCCTCACACTCTGATAGAGAAACAAACAGACGGAGAGCATATATTGTATTAATATTATGCATATCCATAAGAAAATCCCGATGTGAAATGAAAGAAAAAAAGATCTTATCGGATTCTTATCCTGAAAATGTTCTAAAGGTGTAAAAGTAAACACAAAGTGTTATCTGTATATCCTCTCTCACTTGGATGAGATCAAAATTCTGTCTGTACGCATCTGGTTGTGGGAACGAGCTTAATTTTTTGCTCTGAATTCATTTTAACTTACTTTTGCAAGCTCTGTGCCACCGGTAGTATTTGGGTGGGCACTGTGGTACACAGTGATCTCCCAGCAGCAGCATCCTGGGAAACTTACACCACAAACACACAGTGCCAAAGCCAGAATGCAGGTCTGCCACACACCGCTGGCATCCCTCCTCACACTCTGATAGAGAAACAAACAGACGGAGAGCATATATTGTATTAATATTATGCATATCCATAAGAAAATCCCGATGTGAAATGAAAGAAAAAAAGATCTTATCGGATTCTTATCCTGAAAATGTTCTAAAGGTGTAAAAGTAAACACTGTGTTATCTGTATATCCTCTCTCACTTCTTATCAGCTGTGAGAACAGACTGGCTTCATTGCCATGGACACGCTGAGGGCACTGATAATAAAGAGATGCATATCAACCAATGAAAATCCTCAATGGCTCTTTTCTCAGGCTCACTGATGAAATGCAGGCTATGAGAGAATGGTACAGATTCTTTGAATTATACACATAGTTCATGCTTTATTGACTCATATAACAAGATCTAAACAAAAAAGTAGGCCTGTGAAATGTTTCTGAGGAAAAGCAGGTACTCAAACAATAAATAAGTGATGATGTAACCTTCACCACATAATAAAAATAGGAGCTCTGACAAATTGCAAAAACGAGAATAAGGTTATTATTATAAATGTTATAACATAGGAAACAGTGTATATTTTAATTGTTGACAATAACAAATCCTTCTAACTATTGTCTGTGGATGTTTCATGTTTTCAGATAAACCACATATACTTTTAAATTTCAATGTCAAAGTCTTTCTGAATGATTCCACTAGCACTTTTACAACAGCAAGCAGATATTTATAGAACATAAACTCACCCAACCTGAGCCATTTCAATATTAGTCCTCAAGCTTCCGTTTAAGAGCCTTTTATTGTTATATAAATCATACAGGTCACCTTATAACAACACATCACAATACAGGTTTACACCAGTTTTAGGAAAGTTTCACATCAGACATTTATGAAGAATGATTTTAAATGACCCATATTTTCTAAAAAAAGAGCAGTAACATAAGCATAAATAGGTTTCATAATGAAAAATGTTTTAGTGATCTAAGATGCGCAATAGCTGTCAATATCTCTATTGCAACCACACTACCATTCAAAAGTTTGGGGTCAGTCGGACTTAAATTTATACATTTTATTTAGCAAGGATGCATTAAAATAAACAAAAGTGGCAGTAGAGACTTTTCTAATAATGTTAAAAATATTTTTATTTCAAATAAATGCTGCTTTTCTAATTTCCGGTCATGAAACTCTGAAAGTCTCACCTTTTAATGGCAAAAATCCCGTAATCCATCTTAAGAAATGACTGCTCTCAGCCCTAAAGTCAAACTGAATCTAAAGAAGAATTTTTAATTTAGTGTTAAATATTATATATCGCAATTTGTTCTTTTAATTTTTTTTAAAACTGTGTTTGTGCCTGCTTTGACTGATAGTCACATTTATCTTCTAGTGTAGAAGGACTTTCTAAAGCAATTTCACCTCTTACTGCTTCCTATTTGTTTCCTCGTTTTTATTGCAAATCCTCCTCTTTTTATGAGACACAGACTGGTATTTCAACCACATTTTATGAAGACCCAAATAACAGGATAACAGTATTGGCCAGTTTCAGGAAAAAAAACAAAAAAAAAACGCTCGGAGCACATTTGACCGTACTCTTGTCATTGACTTTACAATAATAGCTGACATGCCCTTTGAACAGCAAATCCTCTCCTAGAGGCAAAATGTGCCCATTTGACACCTTAAACCCAAACCGATACAATGTCTTGAGATCAAAGGTGTCACTTGGAAGAATTTGTTTTGGTGATGGCCTGGGAAGACTGATTTTCACTCACCAATGCAGTAGCCTACAGCATTCAGGTACTGGCCCTCAGGGCAGCTGGTTCGGCAGTAGCCGTTATGTAGACTGGCGTGGGCCGGACAAGCAGAACAGTCAGCCTGAGACGGGCCCGTACACTCCTTACATGATGAATGACAGGCTGAAAGGAGACAAAATAATGAGTACAACATTACATTCATAAAAGTATCTATTGAATTGTATTAATCCACAGGGAAACTGGCTTCAGAACAGAACAGAACAGAATAACATCCAAAAACACCTTGGCAAGTACGGTCCTGAACATGGAAACCATGGGGACATTTATCGAGACACTGCCCTTGATGAAGGACACTGGGACGTATACAGGAAGTACAATTCTGGAAACTTCCACCAGAGCAGCCTGAACATGAGATGTGACATTCTGAGAGAGAAAAAGAGGGAGAAAGTGATATTAGTCATAGTCTTTTTTTTTCATAGTTTAAACAAATGTAAACTCTGTACCAGACACCCCAATATAATATAAAATAGCATTACGTAACGTAACATAATATAATTGATCACAAATGTCAGTAAACACTTTTACATTGATGCAAAAGATTTAGTTTTCAAATTAATGCTTTTCTTTTGACCTTTTAGAATCAAATAATCCTGAAAAAAATATATCACTGTTTCCACAAAAATATTAACCAACTGTCTTCAACATTAATAATCATAATAATAATAATCACAAATGTTTCTTGAGCACAAAATTGACATCATAATTGCTGAAGGATCAATGGTTGATGAAATCCAGCTGTCATCACAGGAATAAATGTTAAAATTATACTAAAATACAAAGGTCTTTTAAATTGTAATAATACTTCAAAACAATATTGCTTAACTGTTTTGTAATCAAATAAATGCAGCCTTGTTGAGCATAAGAGACTTTTCCCAAAAATGTAAAGTTTTAAAGATGAAAATGTTTTAATAAAAGTCTATATAAATGTAAAATATTGACATACATAAAACTTTCATAAGTGAGCACTTCCACATTCTTGCTCAATCTGCCTTAAAGCTGTATATGTAGACAAAACGCATTTGCTCTAAAAAGGCTGTCAGTCAGAGAGCTGAGCCATGTGCACACAGCTGAATGAAAGCAGTGGGCTCCAAAAAGAAAGCCTGCCACTGGTGTGAAGTCTGGACTCGTCTCCACTACTCTACCAGATTAAATGTGAGAGACTTTGGCAGACACATGCAGACAGCACATGCACAAACACACATAATCACTGGAAAACACAAACATGCAGAGGCCCTTGACAATCTTCTCGATTTGGAGTAAAGCCCTTAGGACACAGGTGTCAACAGCCATCCTCCACTGTGACCCAAATCATCTGATTGTCTTTAAATTATTTGTCTGTTCAGCCAGGTTTCATTGTCAATCAGAACAAAAGGGCTTGTCTACCCTGTAATTCAGTCTGTTCCCCAAAGAAGAATAGTAGGTGTGCTAAATACTAACCCAGGCAATCTGTATTCCATTGAGTGAATGGGAGACAGGGCTAAGCTTTCTTTTAATGCAATTCAGACACACAATAAACATGCCTAAAGGCCTCACATATTGATCTTTTTTTTTTTTTAAATGACATTTTAAGCCCATGGGGTGTGTTTTGAAATGAAGCCAGGATATTGGGAATGGTCCATCAGTTTTGAGGTGAGCGTTCACAGTGATGGGCTGAATTCTTTAATGCACTTTTAATCGATTTTTAAACTCACACCATACTTGAGTCTGAGATATGATACTGTTGAATTTGTGCTTAAAATAGTTGACTTACTTTACTCACATTTACATACAATTCCAGCAACTATTTGTACTTTCATTAACAAACTATTGCATGAAAAATCCTAAAAGGTATTTGGATCCTTTTGGACACTCAAACCCAGACTTAAAATGTCATTAGATATTAACTTCAAATTTCCTAATCATCTTTGCAATTACCTTTAATCAACTATTTTCCAACTCCAACCTGTAACCAACTGGGCTCCTTGCAATAACCTTTAACCAGTTGATTTAATATGTTAATGCAAAAACATTCACATGTTTTTAAATGTAACTTAAGCATCCAAATACTTTTTGGGGTCAGAGTTTATAGAATTGTATGAATCAACATTCCGTGATATTTCTAACTATTTCAATACATATTAACTAAGGCTCTGTTATAGTGCAATAATGATTAGCAAAGGTTAGTAAAGGTTTTAATGGTTGCCGACAAAAATAAATAAACAATAAAAATAAAAAAGTATTAAAATATATATATATATATATTTAATTATTTATGGTTCTCATCACCCTATTGTGTGAGACTAACACAAAGACACATATAGAGGTCTGCAGAAAGACTGACTTTAGAGGGTTTTACAGATTGGAATTTCCTCTGCATGATATCTGATCCACACACACTCATTCACACACACTCCAGACAAGTAGCCCTGAGGAAGCTCAACATTGTCTGAGCATGCTGGCTCAACACAAAGGTCTTCATTGAAGAAAGAGGCACTTGTCATTATTCTAGCAATAAGCTTCATGACAGTGGACTCACTGAATGAACAGCCCACTGGCCACTTTCTCACTGCTTCTAAGTCAACTAAAACAGTAATATTTTTTAAATGAATTGGTAACACTTTACAATAAGCTTTAATTTGTTAATGCATTCTGTATGATGTATTATCAATGAACAATAATTTTAAAGCATGTATTAATCTAGTTTAATATTAATTTGTACATACGTATATTAATACATTTTTTACATTTTAAGATGTACGAACAACATTTTAAAAAAAAATGAACAACAGTATATTTATAAAGTAACATTAACCTAAACATGCTTAAATGATATACATAATGATAACATTAACCAACTGAAAATCATTTATCTAATTAAATATTTAATTATGAAAAAAAAAAAAGCAAAATTAAATAGAGAGTATTCTGACAAATAAAAATGCATAGCATTTCACGGTTAGTTTTATACACCATATTTAACATGGACTGGAGCCAGTTCCATATCTGTGAAGCTCTCAGCATGTGGGAACATCATAAATACAGAAATGATTCATTGTGCAAAATTCAGACACCATTCAACTGTAAATTTTATTCAGTGCTGTGGGGGTGAGGTGTTGGTGGTACTACAGAAAGCCTGCAGTCCTTTATGAATATGCTACAAGCAGATGATGTCATACTGTTTAGTGCAATTAATTTTTTGTGTTCCTGTATGATGGCTCACACCCGCACTTTTTTTTTCGAAATATCAGTTTATTCTTTTAATTTCCAAAAATGTCATTCTTAATCCTTTTTGGCAGGATTTGGTCAGGATTTAAATTTTAGATGAACCGCGTTCTCCACAGGGTGTTTAACATTCTGTACAACAGCCCTGGTGTATCTGGAGTGAACTGCAGATCTTCAGTCATCAAGGATTAAGACTTTGGGAATAACTAGTGCAAACAACCTGCAGTGTGTCACTCAACACGATGGTATGCACATCGTGTTGCTACTGAGCTACTGAGAATTACAAATGATAGCATATGTGTCTTCATCTTCATTGAAAAATATAAGAATATGTCTTCTTGTTTGCTCACCTCTGCAGGTCTGATCTGCATCAAGGTAATGCTGTGGCCTGCAGGCAGACATACAGGACCCGTGAGAGACATGCCCATTCTGAGGCTGCATAACCTCTTCCTGTTTGACACACTGCATGCAGTCTGAGGAATCCGGACCCACACAGACCCTACATGATGCATGACACCCTGAATAGAGAAGGAAATGTGCTGAAAAGAGTTGAAAAATAAAGTTCATACACACATGAATGCACAAACAGCTTTGCATCTAAAAGGAATGTCTCTTTGACTTTAACTGACCTTAATTTATGCTTCATAAAAAATTTTTAAACTAAACCTAAATTTTAGTCATTTCATTTTATACCTCATAAATATAATTAGACAATTTACAGATTCGAAAACGGTAAAACTCAACTGTTTAACTCTAGGGGAGTTGGAAAATGAGACTATTTTCAAAAATAGTGGAGTGTTCCTTTAAGGCTGCTTTTTCAATTGGACCACAAGGTACATCCACACAGTTTATTACATTCAGATTTCATGCATACATCCACACGTTTGTTTTTCTATCATGGTGGGGACTTTTTACACTGACTATAAACTGAGCTAATGATATTTCGATCCCCCCAAGCCATAAACCTAACCCTCAAACAAACATTTTTAATTTTCATTAAGGCATTTTTAGTACACTACCATTCAAAAGTTTGGTATCAGTAAGACTGTCTTGTTAGTTTTAGAAAGAAGGTTTATTTGTTCACCATGGCTAGATTTATTTGATTTAAAAAAAGCAAAAATAGTAATATTGTGAAATATTATTATAAAATAATATCATAATTTAAAATATGTTTTAAACTTTATTCCTGTGATGGCAAAGCTGAATTTTCAGCATCATTACTCCAGTCTTCAGTGTCACATGATCCTTCAGAAATCAATCTAATATGCTGATTTGCTGCTCAAAAACATTTATTATCATCACAGTTGAAAATGGTAATGAATTGTGGAATCCGTGATACAGTGTGTTTACAGCCTTTGTTTGAAATAGAAATCTTTTGTAACAATATGCAATTTTTTCCTTTAATGCATTTTTTATGAATAAAAGCATCCGTTTCTTCAAACCTTTGAAGGGTAGTGTATATTTTTCTCTCTACAGCCTCACTACAGTGCAGATATATTTTATATCTACATACTGCATATCTAGTCTATAACACACATAATTCTATGAAAGAATAGCCTGAATCTCTACACAGAGTCAGAGAAGGTTATCTGTATTCAAGACACACACACACTCACCTGCAATGCAGTACAGATTGACATACCGGGACAGGGGACAACTACACTTAAATGGCTACAGGTAACACATAACCCCTACTGAACAAAAACCCTCACTTTCCACACTACCTTACAATGCGATATATTATTATGCTTGTATGTACGTACGTACGTATGTACCTACCTACCTACCTACCTATCTATCTATCTATATTCAATTACATGCAACTTGTCCCTCCATTTAGTTGTGGGTCTCTTTAAAATTCGGACCAAATTTAAAATCCATTTTTAATGATGCATTGCATCATTTAGTGAGCAGTTGAATCAAATCGAATCAAAGTATTACCCTAGAATTCTTTAGGACAGCTCATCTATGATCTATCCTCTTTTATCATGACCCAGTTTTCACCACATAACTACATAACAGTGGGAGGAATATCAGAGTTTTGTAAATGCAGTCGTACTGTGACAGTGTCCCCCTCTGGAGAACAGGCCCTCTCCGCAGGACTCCACACACTGGCCTTGGTTCAGGATGAGAGACTTTGAGCAGGAGGTGCAGTGAGACACAGCTGGCCCTGAGCAGGATGCACACGAACTGTGGCAGGCTGGAAGAACAACAGAGGCATAGTTCAGGAGGTGAGAGCAAAAATAACCAACCTGGACCTCTTGTAACCTATAACCTTTCAGGTCCAATTTCATCAAAGTCGGTTAGCAAAAACGCAACTTGTCTTGTTTGAGTACTTTAACACATCTCAAGTACTGGTACTGTGGTCGTTTTGCTACTTCAGAATGTCCTCTCAGCACTCAACTGCAATCATTAGCTACCACAATGCATGGACTTTCTTATGAGCTGGTTAGGTAAAAAAGTGCCTGCCAAAAACATAAATGCAAATGAACTGCACACCAGAGGATTAGGCTTGACTGTATTAATATATCATTTTAAACTCAAAATCATGCATCAAACTAACATCCAGACATGACAATTTTCTAACCCATGTGGGTTTGCTGGGAAAAATATAGAAACTCTTTGGTCATTTTTGAGCGAGATGCTAACGGTCTAATCAGATTCAATGATCTATGCTAAGCTACAGCTAAAAGTGTTACCACCAGACCCGGAGATCGGCTGAATGGATTCGAAAACGGTAAAACTCAACTGTTTAACTCTAGGGGAGTTGGAAAATGAGACTATTTTCAAAAATAGTGGAGTGTTCCTTTAAGGCTGCTTTTTCAATTGGACCACAAGGTACATCCACACAGTTTATTACATTCAGATTTCATGCATACATCCACACGTTTGTTTTTCTATCATGGTGGGGACTTTTTACACTGACTATAAACTGAGCTAATGATATTTCGATCCCCCCAAGCCATAAACCTAACCCTCAAACAAACATTTTTAATTTTCATTAAGGCATTTTTAGTACACTACCATTCAAAAGTTTGGTATCAGTAAGACTGTCTTGTTAGTTTTAGAAAGAAGGTTTATTTGTTCACCATGGCTAGATTTATTTGATTTAAAAAAAGCAAAAATAGTAATATTGTGAAATATTATTATAAAATAATATCATAATTTAAAATATGTTTTAAACTTTATTCCTGTGATGGCAAAGCTGAATTTTCAGCATCATTACTCCAGTCTTCAGTGTCACATGATCCTTCAGAAATCAATCTAATATGCTGATTTGCTGCTCAAAAACATTTATTATCATCACAGTTGAAAATGGTAATGAATTGTGGAATCCGTGATACAGTGTGTTTACAGCCTTTGTTTGAAATAGAAATCTTTTGTAACAATATGCAATTTTTTCCTTTAATGCATTTTTTATGAATAAAAGCATCCGTTTCTTCAAACCTCTGAAGGGTAGTGTATATTTTTCTCTCTACAGCCTCACTACAGTGCAGATATATTTTATATCTACATACTGCATATCTAGTCTATAACACACATAATTCTATGAAAGAATAGCCTGAATCTCTACACAGAGTCAGAGAAGGTTATCTGTATTCAAGACACACACACACTCACCTGCAATGCAGTACAGATTGACATACCGGGACAGGGGACAACTACACTTAAATGGCTACAGGTAACACATAACCCCTACTGAACAAAAACCCTCACTTTCCACACTACCTTACAATGCGATATATTATTATGCTTGTATGTACGTACGTACGTATGTACCTACCTACCTACCTACCTATCTATCTATCTATATTCAATTACATGCAACTTGTCCCTCCATTTAGTTGTGGGTCTCTTTAAAATTCGGACCAAATTTAAAATCCATTTTTAATGATGCATTGCATCATTTAGTGAGCAGTTGAATCAAATCGAATCAAAGTATTACCCTAGAATTCTTTAGGACAGCTCATCTATGATCTATCCTCTTTTATCATGACCCAGTTTTCACCACATAACTACATAACAGTGGGAGGAATATCAGAGTTTTGTAAATGCAGTCGTACTGTGACAGTGTCCCCCTCTGGAGAACAGGCCCTCTCCGCAGGACTCCACACACTGGCCTTGGTTCAGGATGAGAGACTTTGAGCAGGAGGTGCAGTGAGACACAGCTGGCCCTGAGCAGGATGCACACGAACTGTGGCAGGCTGGAAGAACAACAGAGGCATATTATTACTGACCAACAAACAAACCACACAGAGTAACTAAGATGTGAATTCTGCCCATCATACCATAACAGCTGCCTTGATTAGCATAAAAGCCTGGACCACAATCCAAAACACAGAATCCATCCTTCAGTAAGTGGGAGGGGTCTGAGCATGTCAAACAATCCTGAGGCCCCGCCCCCTGGCAAGATGAACAGGAGTCATGGCAACCTAAAGAGGAAGAAGACAATAATGTGTTCAAAATCAAACTAAACAACACACACACACACACACACACACACACACACACAAAACAGCATAAGCTGGCATTACAAGGTTACTTTATGCTCTAGTGTTGTGTTGTGGCTTTTCTGTGAGGAAATAATGTGACCTTATTTTGACAGTGAGAGAAAACATCCCAGTCAGACAAGAACAAAAGATGACCTTTCTGAGGGAGCTTGTAAAAGGTACAAAAAAGGCAGAACACCACACTTGCATATATAAAGAAAGTCCCACGATTTGAAAGACACATACAGAAGCACATACGTAAGATGAATATGTGCATTAAAACACATACGTAATTGAATATGGCATTAAAACACACAATAACACATAACACAAATGCATCTTCACTAACAATAACCTTCTTTTATAATCATCCCTTGGTAAGATGTTTGTGCCGCTAGCACAATCTATTCAAAGGCCTACCAATATATCTAAAGCATAAACACCAAATACAATCATTGCTAATAAATTTAGCTTTAGGCCAAATGATCAGAAACAGAATCAGAAGAGCTTTATCGCCAGGTATGTTTACACATACGAGGAATCTGTTTTGGTGACAGAAGCTTCCACAGCACAAACAGAATGACAGTGACAAGACAAGAAACTGATAATAAAAAGAATAAAATAGGATAAGTAAATAGGAAATAACAATATACAAAAAATATACAAAAAAATATATTATTGATATAACTGCATCAGAGAGCCAGCTCTTTAACCTCCTTTCTGTAAGCAGACTCGTCTCTGTGCTGGATGAGGCCAACAAGTTTGGTGGCATCAGTGAACTTCAGGAGCTAGACAGAGGGGTCTTTAGAGGTGCAGTTGTTAGTGTACAGGGAGAAGAGCAGTGGGGAGAGAACACATCCCTGGGGCGCGCCAGTGCTGATGGTGCAGGTGCTGGATGAGAATTTTCCCAGCCTCACTAGCTGCTGCCTGTCTGTCAGGAAGCTGGTGATCCACTGACAGACGGAGGTGGGCACAGAGAGCTGAGTTAATTTGGACAGGAGAAGGTTTGGGACGACAGTGTTGAAGGCCGAGCTGAAGTCCACAAACAGGATCCACATGTAAGTCCCTGGTCTGTCCAGATGTTGTAGGAAATAATGCAGTCCCATGTTGACTGCATCATCCACAGACCTGTTTACTCGGTAAGCAAACTGCAGGAGGTCCAGCAAGGGTCTAATGATGTCCTTCAGGAGGGCCAGCGCCAGTCTTTCAAATGACTTCATGACCACATATTTTAAAGCTACAGTTCTGTAATCATTTAGTCCTGTAATTTTGGGTTTCTTTGGGATGGGGATGATGGTGGAGCGTTTGAAGCATGAAGGGACTTCGCACAGCTCCAGTGATCTGTTGAAGATCTGTGTGAAGATGGGGGCCAGCTGGTCAGCACAGGTTTTTAGACAGGCTGGTGTAACACCATATGGGCCTGATGTTTTCTTTCTCTTCTGTTTCCGGAAGACCTGACACACATCTTTTTCACAGACCTGAAGTGCAGGAGGTGGGGGAGAGGGAGGTTGCTGGAGGTGTCAATAGATCCATAGAGGGAAGGTCAGAATCGGTGTGGGCTGTGAGACAGGGTTTTTCAAACCTGCAATAAAACTCATTCAAATCGTCGGCCAGTTGTTGATTCTCCACAGTGCTGGGGAATGGTGTCTTGTAGTTGGTGATGTCTTTCAGTCCTTTCCACACTGATGCAAGGTCGTTGGCAGAAAACTAGTTTCTCAGCTTTTCGGAGTAGTTCTTTTTTGCCACTCTGATCTCCTTTGTCAGAATGTTTTTGGCCTGTTTATACAAGACTCTGTCCCCATTCCTGTAAGCATCTTCTTTGGCCTGACGGAGCTGTCTGAGTTTTGCAGTGAACCATGGTGTGTCGTTGTTGTAAGTTAAATGAGTCCCAATAGGGATGCACATATCCTCACAGAAACTGATGTATGATGTTACAGAATCCGTGAGCTCATCCAGATCGGTGGCAGCAGCTTAAAAAAAACTCCAATCAGTGCAGTCGAAGCAGGCTTATTAATGCTTCTTTAGTCCATCTTTTTACAGTCCTTATTACAGGTTTAGCTGATTTCAGATTCTGCCTGTAGGTCGGTATAAGATGAACCAGACAGTGATCAGAGAGCCCCAAAGCTGCCCGTGGGACAGAGTTATATGCATCCTTTATTGTGGTGTAACAGTGGTCCAGTAAGTCTCTGGTAGGACATGTAATGTGCTTTCTGTATTTTGGTAGTTCATGTGTGAGGTTTGCTTTATTAAAGTCCGCGAGAATGATTATAACAGAGTCCGAGTGTTGTTGCTCTGTGCCTGCGATCTGATCAGCCAGCTGTTGTAACGCTGCATGCAAACTACAATGTTCAGCAAAACATCTGAGTAATCAAAAACTGGCAGAAGATTGTGTGGTGTGAACTACTGCCGAATGTTCAGCAGTTCATCCCTGGTAAAACTTATTGTGTTTGAAAAACAACAGACAGAAAAAACTAACAAAAACATTAAAACAACTGGAGAGCTCCTCACTAAAGGCAGCCATACGCTGCGCCATCTTGATGCATTATTTTTTGTCACCGGCTGGTTGTGGATTTCCGATATTTGGAAAAGCTTGATTGGGCTTTGAGTAAACATGGAAGGAGGGTTTTCTCTAAGTTTTTCCCATAAGGTACGAGTTCAAGATATTTACTTTGTAAAATAAGTGACCTAATTTTAATAGTCAGGCCACTAACTCAGTCTCCCTTTAGCAAATTTACTGAACTGCTCCATATATCACACAAGCCTTAAAATCTCATCAATCTACCATCTCTCCTTCAGACAGACAGAGAGAGAAAGAGAGAGATGTGGGACAAATTAACAGCTGCGCATGCCTTCAAAATCACCTTCTGTTTCTTTCTGGTTATGAGGCTGAATATAACAAACAACAGAAGATGTCTGTTATTCTAGATTTTGAACATTTCTTGCAATGTGAATCTTGCTGCCACTGAGCTAATGTGTTGTTAGTGGTTTCCAGGGAGTTGCTTTGTGGTTAATAAGGTGTTCTGAATGGTTCTTAAGGTCCTATGCCGTTGCTAGGATGTTATAGGTGGTTGCTAGGTGGTTACTTCCTGCCCAAAGTCCACTAAGTCACTCTGATATTCTGGTCCTTAGATGTATTTCCAACAATGCGCATTTTAAATAAATGTTGTTAAATGCTGAAAAAAAGTTTCCACGGTTTCCACAAATATATTATTCAGTGCAACTGTTTTCAACATATGTTATGTTTCAATATGTTTCTTGAGCACAAAATCACCATTTTAGAATGAATTCAGAAGGATCATGTGACACTGAAGTTTGGAGTAATGGCTGCTGAAAATTAAGCTTTTACTAAGAAAAGTGACATCATACCTCTCATTAAGTCACACAGTTGGTATCATTCATGTCCACAGCAAAAGACTTAAAATAGAAATACCGATACTTTTCCTTAGTAAGAACCACTTATTTCATATCTAATATTTTATTATGCCTTGTGTCATAATTTTTCTCAGATTTATGTACAAATACTGTTAAATACTTTTTTTTTCTTAATTTTTCATTTTTTTATGAATAATCAATTATTATAAATTGTTACAAACACCACCGAATTTGTGAAAACAGTCTCTAATTATGTTGTGCAGCAATAAGGTCACTATACTCTAGATTCTTTGTGTAAGTTTAGTGCTCAGGATTAAACTACGAATCTGGGCACGGCGCCCAGTGTGAAATTCACGGTTCTACATGGCACCTCTCCACAGACTCACACACAATGGCACCAAACTGGCCCAGAACCCTGAGTAGCTGGAATGGGACCAAATATTTTGACAGCCAACAACAAAGTGTGAACAAGAGACATAGGTAACCATGTTTAGTGGATTTGGAAAAGCTTGCCATGCTAGAAAAATTAATGACAGCACACTTGGGCATGTCTGTCAGCACAACTCTAAGGTTTTACATGACTTCTTGATACGCTGCGGATGTGAAAGGATACATTTTAAGATATCCAAGTTGTGGCATGTAAGAAGTGTTCGGTAAGGTCTGTTAGTGGTTTGTTTCCAAATAGCAATGTGTTACATGAGATATACTAAACAAAACAAAAAATTAAACTCCATTATAACATTGTTTAAAATGTAAATGAGAAAGGGAGAAAGGCACAGAGACAAAGAGACAGAGAAGAGAACAAATGATGAAGGAACATCTAAGGGCTTCCTCTAAGATTCCCTCATTGTTTAGCTTAGCTAATTAACTTATTGAACATTTGAATTTTTGCTCTCAATCAGAGAGTAAAACAAGAGAATGAATTGTTATCGTTTGGCCACAATAAAAACCTTCCACATTCAATTGCTCAGTATGACTCATTCTCGCTAAATCCACCATAATGGGCTCAACCTAAGCTGGATATTTCTTTCCCATCTTGTCCCTTGTAGAACAATGCGGTCCAATCTGTGGGAGAGGCTTATTAAAGTGTGAAATTGAATGAGAGTGGGGACTGAGGTAATTGCTGTGCAGTCTAGTGGTCCCAGTCACAGACCAGTTAGCAGGGTCACTAATGCATGATTCCCTCCAGATTGGATTGCTATAGTCAGGTAGCCTGACAAGACTAGGTACCCATGTCTTGAGGTTGATTCTTATGCAAGGAGTGAATGCACTGCAGGTGCAGTAATGCTCCATCTGGTTTTAATAGCAAAAAAAAAAAACTGACCTTTTAGAGATAACATGGCGCAAAATGTTGTACAACAGGAAGTATACATCTAAATACATAAAATGGGCACTTTTGTTTATCGAGGAAGTAAATACAGCTTCATTTTGCAATTATCATATAGCAATGAACAATAAATTAATAAATAACAATGAAATTCTATCAGAACGAGGAGGAAATAAATAAAAATGAATTAATAAATTATATATATATACCGTTCAAAGGTTAGGTATCAGTGAAAATTTTGTTTTACAAAGACAATTCTCCATTTAATTGATCATAAATACTGTAATATTGTAAAATATTATTACAATTTAAAATATTTTGTTCTATTTTAACTTGTTAAAAATGTAATTTATTTCTGTAATAGCAAAGCTGAATTTTCAGCCGCCATTATTCCAGGATTCAGTGTCCGAAAATCATTCTATTATGCTGATTTGCTGCTCAAGAAACATTTCTTATTTTTATCTGTGTTGAAAATAGTTGTCTTCGATGATTAAGCTTTCAAGAACATCAATTATTTGAAACAGAAATCATTTATAATATGTAAATGTCTTTACTTTCATTTTGATCAATTTAATGCATCCTTGCTGAAAAAAAAAATCAAAAATCATAGTAATCCTAAACTTTCGAAAGGTAGTCAATATATATTTACATACACTATATACATTTAAAATAATAATAGTATGGTATATATATTTAATATAGATGTATATATTAAATATGCATACATCATTATATTTAATATCTATTTAACTTTTTTTTTTTAATTTATAAAGACATTTAAATATCAATGTATAACATGATTTTGGGCAATATTTCTATGATAGCTCCACAAGCACATCGATACTGTATTGTTTAAGTATTACTGCCATCTTTCCTATTCAGCTACCTGGTTAGATGCAATATATGCACTTTGTTTAAGGTTGGTAAGAAAGCATCATAAAAGTACAGCAGAAGTAATCAGCATCACAGAAAGTGAAGACAATAAAAGTGAATGAACTGTAAACTGCAGTTGACTTACTGAGACAGCGTGTGTGGTCCTGGAACAGACCTCTCTCACAGGTGGTCACACATTGCCTGCCACTGAGGAGAAAGGACCCACCACATGCTGTGCATTCAAAGTCATTCTCACAGGTGGCACATGACGGCTGGCAGGCTGGTAGAAAGAGAAAGAGAAGGGTGATAGGGGCTGGGGGATTCACTTTGTGGCTGCATTGACAAACACTATGCAAACACTGATACATTAATTGAAATTGGGTGTGTGAGAGTTTGTACATCAGGTTTAAAAGAGCGACTGTAAGAAATTTGTCAAATGATGCTATAACCCTCCAAAGTGAGGGGAAATTCCAGTGTAGGGTCCGGACTGTGTTTTGACTTGTTGAAATGACTGTGACAAACATGACTCATGTACATGTACATGCACATCCACATACAGTACACACAAAAACACACACACACCAACAAAGCTATAGGATTAGCTATTTGTGGAAGTCACCCAAAGCACTGGGCGTTTTGAGGATTTAAAATACCATGGTGTAAAAATATGTTTAGGCCAGACGTGTGTGAATGTTGGTAAGAAAATAGGAGGAGGAGGAGGATAAAGTAAAAAAGATGAAGATGAAGAGGTGAACAGGAATTTGTGTAACAAAAGCAGCGTGGGCTGTAGAAGTACAACGGTAAAACACAATAAAAAAAAAAAAAGTATGTTTATACCTGCACAAACTTTGCCCTGAGCGAAAAAGCCTTCAGGACATGACTGCAGACAGCGTCCATTCATCAACAGGGCAGAAGGATCCTGACAGCTGTCACAGTGATCTGGTGTGCCAGAGCATGTCAAACAGTCCTCGTGACACTGCACTGCTGCAGACACACACAAATAACACAGTCAAACTCCTCAGAGGACAGAAAAAGTTACAGTTTAAAAACACTAACTTAAATTATGATCATCATTAACATCACCTCTGCTCTAATGAGAATGAGCCAGTTGCCCTGCAGCTGTGACAGTGCATTTTCATTTTACTAAGGCATTACACAAACCCAAATGTCACAAATGGCTGAAATTTACCTATTAAAGAACAACCAGAACAATCAAAGAACCATTTATTGTGAATGCTTTTGTCATGCGTTTGGTTGTAGTAAGGAATCACATGACGAAGGAATACATTCAGGAAACAACTTTAATAGACATCTCACGGGTAACACGCAGCGAAAGAACCAAACAAAACAAGAAAAGCTGTTATTAATCATAGTCAATATCACATTATTAATATTTACACTGTCAAAAGGGCATTTAAGCAATTATGAGTACTCAAAACCTGTCACACTTGCAACAAATTAAAATATTTAAAGTGGTCATGAACTGCCTTTTTTATTATTATTTTGTACTGTTCTCTGAGGTCCACTTGTAATTAAACCAAAAAACATCATGATTTAGAAGTAATAGGTTATTTTCTGTCCTGTTTTGACCCCCTCATCGGAACGCTCTGTTTGAATAGGTGTGGCAGATTGTAGACTCGGAAGTAAACGCCCACTGCTATGATTGGCTAACAGTTGTGTATGTTTGACAGCCAAATCCTTCATAGATGGACGCTGATGTGGTTAAAAACACATAAATACTCAGTACATATTAAACAATCTGTAATAACAGACAAAGCACTAGTGACCACATAACAAAAACAGTTACTCACACTTGTGTGGTGCGACATTACTCATTCATTCTCTTGGATCCAATATAGTCGCACAGCATCGTCTGTTAATTGCAATCTTTGTGAAAAACCTGCGTCGAATTGTGCCTTGTTTTTAAACGAACCCATGGTAAAATGAAGTGAACAAAGGACCAAGTTCTTACTGAGGTGGTCTGGATCTTCATTAAAAATAAAGTTCATCCATTCTTTCTGTAATGTTGGGATCAGAAGGAAGACCATGCAAAGACTGTGTTTTTCCACAACTTGGCACTGCACAGCGTCTTGTTGTCTTCTGAGCCATCTTTATCGTTTGGTTTCTGCGTAGACCTGCATTTACGTCTCTTGTTATTTACACTACATGTGTGAATCGGTGGGCGGAGCTAAACAGGCAGTGATGTAGAAGCAGGTGTTGATCATCTTCTGTGGAGGCGGGGTTTAGCCACACTATTACGTCATAAAGTGGCACATTCCACAACCTGTCGTTTTGGCAGATTGGCTTCAATACAAGCTGTGTTTAGACTGACGAGAAAGTTTGAGTTCTGAAACTTACAGGCTGTTTTTATAGTACTGTGACCTCTTAAGTGTCAAAAGATCAAGGCAATTTTGATTTCTCAGTTCATGACCCCTTTAAAGTTAAAATTGGCTTTGTGGACAATGTGGAAATGAATCTAAATTTATTTCTTCACTAAACCATATACACTACTGTTCAAAAAGTTTGGGGTTGGTAAGATTTCAAATTTTTTTGAAAGAGGTCTTTTATGGTCACAAAGGCTGCATTTATTTGATTAAAAATACAGCATAAATAGTAATATTGTAAAATATGATTACAATTTAAAACAACTGTTTTCTATGTTAATATATTTTAAAATGTAATTTATTAAAGTGATGGCAATGCTGTATTTTCAGCAGCCATTGATCCAGCGTTCAGTGCCACAGGATCCTTCAGAAATCATTATAATATGCTGATTTGGTGTTCAAGATTTTTTTTTTTCTAATATTAACATTCAAAACAGTTGTGCTTCTTAATATTTTAGCAAGGTGTGATGCATTTTTTTAGGGGTATTTGATGAAAAGTTCAAAAGAACAGCATGTATATGAATTTTAAATATTTTGTAACATTATAAATGTTTTGACTCTCACTTTTGATTTCTTGTTAAATAAAAGTATTAATTTCTTTAAAAAAAACAAAAAACTTACAGACTCCAAATTTTTGAACGATAGTGTACATGCTTTTCTTCACTCTAAACCATATGTATTGTTTTAATATTAACAAATATTATCACATCATATAATGGTTAAAAGACCATTACAACTGCTAGCCTAAAGAACCTGGAAGTGCAGTTGCCGGTTGTGTGATGTCAAGGTAATTTAATCTATAGTCATGCAAATGAACCACCAAATCTCCCACCCAGTCTTTAGTGTACTAATAAGGCACTCAAAACTTCTCCACATGGTCCAACTGAAACCTGAGCCTATAGTTCTCTCTGGCACCATTACTTGGCACAAGAATTAATTACATAGTCTCTAATGAGCTGGTAAATCCCTTGCTAAGGACTTTAGGCTGCAGGTTTCTGGCTCTGTCCATGAGGCCAGAGCAAGAGACATGGAAATAGGGCAATGTAGGAATTTAAAGGTGCGTTGGTAATTATTTGATGGTCATTCCCAATTTTTGGACCGGACTACAAGCACAAGGCCAGGCTCATATCCAGAGGGAGAAAAGGAAAGCTCTAAGTCTTTATTATTTTCTGACATTCCCCCATAAATCACTTTTCATTAAATACTTTGGTGTGTGAATCAATAACTCTTGGTGAAAAACTATCCTAATCTCCATTTTCCAGTTGAAGTAAGCATTTTTTACCAGAAGGACCTTTGAGACTTTCCATCGATTTGAAAAATCTACTTGTTTCGAGTGCAAATGCATTATAATACGGCCACTAGCTAGTAAATCCTTCCGAATCGCAGCATTTCTCACAGTAACACTGCAAGTCATTATATCTCAGACATTCTATCTGATAAAACACTGATGCTGGGCTCCTTCTGTTCCTCACAACAGGCAGACAAGTTAACAAATGGTTATGTGGCTGTGAACGCATACACACTGTCTTTGCCGTATTGATCAAATCTGGACATTAACCAGCTAACAAGCACTATCACCACGCAAGATGTTACTTACCATATGTGATTAATAGTGCTTATGATAAACATATAAGAGAAAAATGTTTTGTTTTTGGTAAACAGGACAGTCGTATTTCTGTCCAAAGTTTAAGAGAAAATATACTATCTGACTGCTGCGTTTAGAGGATAGATACATTAGCATTATCTAATAAGCATAAACACAGAGATGCCAAACGGTCAACACGCACACATATAAACACCCAAACAATTTACCCTGTCTCTTCAGATAAACATACAGTATATATCTATATAAAGGCAAAATGTAAACACAAACACATTCTGCTTTCTTTCTCTCTATGGTATTTTCCAAGAGAAAGAGGGAGAGTGAAATATGCATGTTCTTCTTGCAGCATCTCTTGAAGTCACCTTGGAAATTTAGTATATAGAGCAGACCCGAGTCTCATGGGTGCTGGAGAGCTAAATAAGCACATTATCTAACCAGAATATAATCTAATACTATAGCTCTCATCTCTCTCCCACTGAGATCAACTATGTTTTGCCTTTATGGTTCAGGAATTGTTCCTTGGAGGGCTGATAAAGAAAGATTTTCAGAACAATTCAGAAAAGTTTTTTTTACATCATATAAAGAAATGCTTTTAAACTGGGAATAGAATGATGTAATGTTCTTTTGAAGTAAATAAATCAAAGTATAACCCCAATTTCACTGATTATATTGGAATATATTCACAAGAGAGCATGGTAATTAACTACAGCAGCTTCATACATCATTGCGGTTTGGGAAATGAACACCAACATAGACGTGCAGGTCTCACCTGGATTGCAATCCGGACAGCACTGTTCAGGGTGAGGTATAGTCAGAGTGCCCAATGGACAGGTGGGACAGGAGTGCTGGTAACAGGTCACATGACCCTCCTGACACTGGCACTCGCGACACAGCCCCTCTCTGATGCTCTCTAGATTCTGAGACCAGAGACACAAGAACAGTAAAAAGACATTTTTGCTTAGACAAAAAAATCGGTAGTATTTATTAATTTTTGCAAACCATAAACCAAGTTCTCATGTTTACTTACAGTGAGGCGTCTAAAACTCTTGATGTTGGCTTTCTGCCCCTAAATGGACAAAGACAGTTTGAATGGTGGTGGTATTGATTTGCTTGTCTTTTTTCTTCATTGCTATCAAAAGCTATTTGTATATTAGCGTTCAAAAGTTTAGGGTCAGTATTTATTTATTTTTTGAGAGAGAAATTAACACTTTTATTCAGCAAGGACACTCAATTGATAAAATGTAACAGGAATAGATTTATAATGTTACATACAACCTATTTTAAATGAATGTATTTCTTTTGAACTTTCTCTTCATTAAAGATGCCTGCAAAAATGTATCATAGTTTACACAAAATATTAAGCAGCACATCTGTTTTCAACATTAATAATAAGAAATGTTTCTTGAGCACCACATCAGCATATTAGAATAATTTATGAAGGATCATACGACACTGAAGACTGGAGAAATGATGCTGAAATGAATTATATTTTAAAATATATTCAACAGTTATTTCAAATTGTAAAGATATTTCACAATATTACTGTTTTTACTGTATTTTTGATCAAGTAAATGCACCCTTGGTGAGAATAAGAAACTTCTTTCAAAAACATCTTACTGAACCCAAACCTTTGAATGGTAGCATATGTATTTCACGTGTGAACATGGATATAAAACATGATAAGACCAATGTATGTTTTACCAAACCCATATTTAAAGAAGCATGCTTTGTACCTTTTGATGTGGCTGTGAATATGTACAGGAACTGGTTGTTGTCCTACACTCTGGGCAGCATTTCCCAGGCAAATGGACCAGTTTTTCTCCCTGGCACAAGGTGTGAAATTTTAGCTCATTTAATTTCAGCATGAAAACACCCCCAGGGGAATGATTAGATGTCTGACACAGAGCCACAAATCTCTAATTACATCACATTTCCAATTCTACCTCTGAGGTTCTTTATAGGGGGCCATTATCAATAGTCATTTACATTCATGAGAGAATCTTTAGTTGTTTCTGTGTAACACAGTTTGATCACCAAAGTCATGGTGGTCTTACAGACGAATCAGCAGATGTCAGTGAAATATGCTACAGATGGGAAAGAAGGTTTGATCGATGTTTTCAAAAAGATACAGAAGCATCTTTTGTGTTTCTTGTTTAATCAGACACTCTACTGCTCTGACTCCAGTGAACATCAGCTCTTATGTTAATTAATGCAGGACCTTAAAACCACTGCACTGAAACAAAAAAGTAACCTAAAATGTACTTCATGTGAGAACATCTAATTAAAATGGTTTAAATTCAAGTAAAAAAAAAAAAAAAAAAAAATTATTTAACATCACCAAAAAAAAAAAATTAATAAATAAATAAATTTAAAGGGGCAGTTCACCCCAAAATTTAAATTCTGTAATCATTTACCCACCCTCATGTCATTCAACTTCACAACACAAATGAAGATATTTTAATATTCTCTTATATTTTTTGCCCATCCATTGGTTATCCACACAACCAAAACTTTCATGCATCAAAAAATGCAAAAAGACACAGTAAAATATTTGAGCAGTTTAATCCAAGTCTTCTGAAGAGACATAATTGCTTTATATGACGAACATATTTAATTTAGGCTTCTAATCATAATAAAAATACCTTTATTTGAGTTCCAAAGATGATCAAAAATTGCATGGGTTTGGACTGACATGAGGGTGAGTGAATGATTACAGAACTATCCTGAAAATGGGACTAGTAGAAAAACAAGTAGAAATAGCTCCAAATAACTGCATGTTACCATTTTTTAGAGCATGCATAATAGTTTTACACACCAGAATGTATGTCACATTTAAAACCTGAGAGTTTTCTGTTCAGACTTGTGTACTTCTCCTTCAAACTTCCATTATGAACTCTACCATGACCCTAGTGAAAATCACAGGATTTAAAAACTTTTAAGGCAGAGTTTCCTCTCTAAAGAATAACCTTTACAGTGACACTTCTGGATTTGGGCCAAAAGTACAATTATTAAGTGATAAATCTCCACAGTGCTCAACCTTTCAAAGCTCCTTGTGATTAATGGAGAAGCGGAGAACATATAGATTGAATAAAGTTGTAATTCATAACGGGACAAATGACCACAGAGATAATGTGCCCCAGGTTTCAAACTCGCCTGGTATATTTTGCCCTAATAATTATCAACATTTTTAATGGCAGTATATAGGGCATCCCCCCAGCTGAGCTTGTTAATTGTGTCTTTTAATGAGTAGAATAAGCATGTGTCCCTGCTGATGGCTCTGCATAGAAATGTGTTCCTTATAAAATTTGGACACATACCTGTGGGCACTCCATTCTGGCGCACTCGACCCTTTGGCACAGCACCTGACCCCGTTCACACATACAGAACTCACAACCTGTGCCGTTCCACATATCGCCATGGTAACGGACGATGTCCTCATAGAGGCAGCTGCCTTTAGACGAGACACAATCTTCGCAGCACTGCCCAGGTCGCTTGATCTTCATCTGACCCTGAGAACAACACACGTTAGCACACATTATAAAATGTCACACTTGTTATAATGCACATCAAATCATTTTTACTTGTGCCTCAGTTTGTGAAAAGAAAAAATCAGTTGTAAACGACAAGATCCATTTAATGGAGACTGATTTGTTTTTAACCCAGAATATTTATTTAAAGACCTCACAATTGTTTTACAAGTGTGTTGACAAAACAGTGTAGCAAAACAGTTGATTACTTACTTGAATGAGGGACATACCCCTTTGCATTCAATGCAATTTGGATTTCGTTCTAATCATTCAACTCAAACTGCTAATTGTTATCTTCTTGAGAACATGAAATCTAAACTTGATGGTGGTGGAGTAATAGGAGCAGTGTTTTTGGATCTAAAGGTACTTCTTTAAAAGCTCACACTTTTCAATTTTTCTGCTGAAGCTATTAAATGGATGATTTCTTATTTAGCAAATAGGAAGCAAAGTGTGCGTCTTGGTAATAGTCAATCAATGTACCGAAATTGTAATATTGGAGTTCCTCAAGGATCAATTCTGGGCCCTATCTTGTTTAGTTTGTATATAAATGACTTGCCGCTAGTCTGTTCATCTGTTAGTATTCAAATGTATGCTGATGACACAGTTTTATATGTGCATGCAAAAAACAAACAACAAGCAGCGAACATTTTAACTGAGGTATTGGTCCATGTTTCAGATTGGCTGAGTAACTCATATTTACATTTAAATATAAGCAAAACTGTTTCTATGTATTTCTCACAAAAACCGACAGTGATTCCCCATCCTGATGTATTTGTTAAAGGAGAAAAGCTCAAGGTTGTTTCTGATTTTAAATACTTAGGAGCAATTTTAGATTCCCAACTGACATTTCAAAAGCATGCCAAAAAGGTAGCCAAAATTATTAAATTTAATTTGGCTAACTTCAGGCATATAAGACCATGCTTAACAATAGAAGCAGCAAAACTCTTCATGCACTCTATGATTTTTTCTCATATTACATATTGTTTTACGAGTTGGTCACAAGCAAGCACAACCGTTTTAAAATCAATTGAATCTCTTTACAAACAGACGCTTAAAATATTTGATCAGAGGACTAATAGTTATCATTATTGCAATATAGTTCAAAAACATAATTTATTGAGTTTTGATAATATTAAACATTTGGTTGATGCTTGCTTGATTTTTAAGATTTTAAATGGTTATGCACCTCCCCCACTATGCCAGTTTATAATGCAGAAGGATAATAATGGCAGAGTAACAAGAGCAACTACTAGAGGAGACTGTGCTGTACAGTTTAGGCGTACAACATTTGGATGGTCAGTCTTCTCAATTAGAGCCATTAATTATTGGAATACTCTACCAACTGAATTAAGGAGTAGTACAAATTATTTAACATTTAAACATAAATTAAAGAAATTGTTAAAAGCAAGTCATATTTGTAATCATGTGTAAAAAAAAATTCCTTTATGATACTGCCATTATTATCCTTAGTGTTTAATTGTAAATGTTATTGTATGTTTATGTGTGATCATTTACTGTATTTTAGATTTTTAGGTTGCCTTTTTAAAATCTGGCAAGGGGCAACAGATGAAAATTAGCCATTGGGGCTAACCCTGGCTTATTTACAGTATTTTACTGTTGATTAATGAGCACTGTCCCGGTTAAATAAATAAATATTTGGAAGTTTTAGAAATGAGAAATTAGGAGTTTGGACGGGACCTACTGAAGGGCTTGTCCCTGTTGTTTTAGGAAAATAGCCAGTGGACTGGAAGAGAAAAACTAAAGATCTGTAAAACTAGTCAATTAAAAAAAAAGCTGAATTTTGCCAACTTTTAACATATAGACAGACTCTAGCTATATGAACTAAAACCATAAAAGCCTCATTTTCATTTAATGGGGTGATTTCACGCTTTTTAAGGATTCACACTTATTAAGGTGAGATATAAAAATGAAATGTCTGTTCCTGCTGAGAATTGTTCTAAAGCACAGTTACATAAGATCATGAATTTTGCATGAAAGCAAAAGACTGAGATGGAAAACACCCCAAAGCAACAGACAAAATGCGAAATATATGGTGCAAACAATCCTGGATGACGAAAAATCCTAACTGTCACTTTCAGACCAAAGAAGCATAAACTGCAAGAATCAAAGTAAGACTGTATTAAATTGTAAATGGCAACAGTCAGTGAGCCAACAGCTTCTCTTTTGTGATCTTCTCAGTAAGCTTGTTGGTCAAGAAAGGTCTTTGACATGAAGTGTTGGGGTGTAATGGATTTCTGCTGACCTTATCACAGTGGAGAGGAGGGCACTTCTCCATCTGACAGCGAGAATGAGCGCGATCGCACACACAGGTGGTACAGCTGCCCCTCTGCCACTGCTCGCCATGCTAAAAACACACACGTACACAATAAAACAGTTCTGAGAGAAGGGAACATCTACTGTATGCCATCAATACTATGGTTTTAAATGCATGTAAAATTCCAATTCGAAATTCCAGAGCTACGCCACCAATGTCTCGATTCAATTTCGAAATTCAGATAGCATCTCAAAGCTGTTCAAAGCTTTAGCAGCAGAACACATTACAGCACATAATTAATTTAAAATAAATGACAATTTCAGCCAGTGCTGCAGTGAACAAGACAAGTACTAGAAGGAGATGAAAAGAATGGTGAATGTTATCCTTTGTAAATCCTTGCTTTGCTTTCACACAATCCACTGTGATCAAGAGAGTTGAATTCAAAAGAGTTGAATTCCACTGAGTGGGACGTGATCGCTGAGAGCACGGTGAACAGAGAAACAGCCCTAAAAGACATGCTGATGAGAGATTTCGGGGACGCTTGTGAAGTTTGAGTGTCTAAAGAGAGGTGTCACTACTGCAAGGATGAAACCATATATTCCAGATTGAGGGGATCAAATGGAATAATTTAAGAATGAACCATTAAAAAAACCCCCCTTGATTCATCCATCATCTGAATATGCTATGTCTTTAGTAATATTGAGCCTATATTGGCACTTTGACAACTCCGTATTATAAAAGGAACTGTATGCATGTTTCCAACAATAAACTTTTGCTCATTACTGGTATTACTGGCACATTTAGTCATACACTTTATCTTTACCTTTCTTAAATACTTGGTCAAGGAATATAAATATATATAATATTAATTACTACTATTTACTTTTGCACTGCTAATATTTCGATATTCGATGTGTATTCACACTTCTTATTTTATATTGCAGACTTTTCCATTGTATGCAGCTATGCTGAAAATGCTTTGGCGATACAAATGTAGAGTTTTTTATGTTAATGAAGCAGACCAAAACTGCAAATTGAGAGAGAGTGAGCAAACAGATGAAAAGTCAGCTGAGGGAATGATGAGTATTATGGGTGTGAACAACGAAGGGAGGAACAAGAGATGATATGAGGCAAGAAAGAAGTATGGAGGAATGACAGAAGCAAGAGTGACAAGCATATCACACACACACCAAACTCAGACACGGCTCTCTGCTCAACCCATCTGCCACAATATGAATGATGAACACACTTTAACCCACACTTACCATCCCCTCCCTCAAAAGGTCTTCCGTAATACAGACATGCATTATCCCATCTGTCACTCTCGATCTATCTCTGTCCTCAGATCTCTGTGCATATTTCACCTTTCTCTAATCTTTTCCGGCTTACCTTGTACTCATTCCCAGCCTCCATGCAGGGATTCGGCTCACATTGAGGACAGCACTGTCCTGGCTGGACAACCAGGTTCTCATTCTGTATGTCAAATGAGCACATCAACATGCTGTTTTTAATAGCTAGAACAACTCTTTCAATTCATAATAACATCTGAACAGGATTAATCAGTCTTGATTTTGAGATAATGTGGTAGTTTTACACATCAAGACGGGCAGAACTGTGTTTTGCCTTGACTATTACTGACATGACAGATCAAAACACAAGGCACAGTTCAGGGCTGTTACTGACCGCTTTGCATGTAACAGGCTGACACTCTGCAACCAGGCATTCAGTGTGACCGTTTCTGCATCGACACTTTGCACAGGGGCTGGTTGTCCATTCCACCCCATCTCTGTACTGACGGCCTTCCCAAGAGCAGGAGGCTATGGAATCAAAAAGCATTTTAATTGCAAAACTGAACAAGAATTTCCAGCACATCATTGGTCTCTGACAGTATGAAGCAGAATAAACCCTCTTGGGACCCATATAGCTAAGAAAAGCAATCAGCAAAACATTCAAAAAAAGAGAGGCAAACAGATGACTGCTACTAACATCACAGCACGCGAGTAAAAGCTGAAGTGTAATATCTGTGCCACTAGTGAAACCAAAAAAGAACCGCAGAAACAATAGCTGTTTTCAAAGATTTTCAGAACGTACCCCAGTTTGCCATCGTTTGAGCAAATTCATGCCCCAAATTTACACCACTGGTTGAACCCATGCCATTATATCCACTCAAACAGACACAATTCCATTTGTGGCCACTAGAAACTACACACATCTTTAAAATTTTCTTCTGTATTATGATGTACATCCAAGTGAAATGGATTATCGAGAAAAAAAGAAAAGAAAAAAAAGTAGGGCAGGAACTTGGCTCTCTCCTTGGGTTTTTGATTGGATGGAGGCAGATCTAAATGTAAGCTTGCAGTTGACTTTAAGAAAGGTACAAGGTTTAAGTGGACGAAACGACTGGAGAAGTCCAGAATACATGACCAGAGAGAAGCCTATTGTTGCTATATTTTGATTAAACTTCATAAGGTCAAAAACGTTTAAAAATAAACCATAAGCATGAATGAATTGTTTACAGTAACTTCAGTAACATATTAATAGTTAATTTCCATTTAATGTTGACTTTAACATGCAAATTAAGACAAAATAAAGTTTTTTTTTTTTAGGTGTAGCTTATATTTGCTTCACTGTGACCATTAATATTGTTTTAATATATATTATAAATAAACAGATTCACTATAATTATAAATTAGCAGTGATCAATAAATGCGCAAATATATAAACATTGATATAAACAAATATCCAGTGTATTTGTCCTAGAAAAACTAAAATAATATAATAAAATTAACTAAAATATTAAATAATTAGAGGAAACAAAAGAAAATATTATTCTTCTGTATTCCATAAATAGTTAAATAATAAATAAATAAATAAATAAATATATATATATATAATTATGTTACGGTAATTTATTCTTATTTTCTTCTGTAGTTCTTTAGGAACCGATAAAGAGTAAAGATATGTGTTGTCTCGTGTTCTACAGGACCATAAAGTCCTAAACATACTATCACAATTTTTGGTAACACTTCATTTTAAGGACCAATTCTCACTATTAACTAGTAGCTTATTAGCATGCATATTACTAGCATATTGGCTGTTTATTAATACTGATTAGTCAGATATTAATACCTTATTCTGCATGCCCATAACAACTACCTTAACCATAACAACTATACTTAACAACTACCTTACTAATTATTAATAAGAAGCAAATTAGGAGTTTATTGAGGGAAAACTCTTAGTTAATAGATATGTGTTCCCTATTCTAAAGTGTTACCCAATTTTTTCCATAATGTAAAATACAATGACTGACTAAAACCAGAAGCAATGGTTGAGGAAAGCAATCACTTTCACCAACAGCAAGTAGCCCATCATGTTGTGCATGAAAAAAGTTGCAGCTTACTGTACCTCCATTGTGAGCACATACAGGGCAGCAGTCTCCGTCTGGGATGAAAGGACTCTGGTCTTTCCCACAACTAAGAGAAGGACAAGCACGTGGCCCACAGGTCACCTTCCCATGAGAGCATGTGCACACCGAACATTTGGAATTACTCCACTGACTGTCATGCTGAGTGAGTGGAAGCAGGAGAGAGGTAAATCAGGACATGGATGAAGAGAAATGTTGATTGTAAAAATGAATTAAAACACCGTTATCTTTAAATCTGTGCAAACAGAATATCACAAATATCACTTATTGTTCTGAGCCCCAATACCAACCCAGCCTGCTCGAGTTTCACAATTTGAGTTGAATTACTGAAATAAATGAACTTTTCCACGACATTCTAATTTATTGAGATGCACCTGTAAATGCTACTTGACTTGAAAGCTACACTGCTAGAATCTTAAACAGGGCACCAAGTGGCTCTTTAGCAGGGATGATTGGGACAAAAAAAGAAGAAGCTTGCTCTGTCAGGGAAGAGTGGAACACAACCAAAAACGCTATTGTGCACAAAACGAAGCAATCACTCAGTTGAACCAGAAGTGGGAAGATTTGCCAAGGGACAGGAAGGGGCTTTTAGCATCTTTCATTGGAGTGGTGTCATAATAAGCAGTGTTACTTACCCCATAAACCATTCCTTCATGCTGACAGACCCCGGGCAACTGTGCAAAACATTCTGGACAGCACTTGTTGGGTGGGATTCTCAAGCGTTGACCCTAGGAAAACATCCAGAGAAACATTTAAACAGTTGCATTAGCATCTCAGAGAAAGTTTTATCAGGACTCAAGAGCAATGAGACATAATAACATAATCCATAACTCAAAAATATTGGCATTTGCAAACAGTGTTTTTTTGTGTGTGTGTTATTTAGATACTACAAACTTATTTATTAATATTTTAAATGAGCTTTGATATTTATGTTTTAAATGATCAGATTTCATTTTAAATTTGGTTTAAGTTTTTATTAATTTTGTTATGTGCATTTGCTATTTTTATAAATCTTTATATTTAGCTTTAATCTTATTTCAGTTTGAGTTTTAGTAATTTCGGTACTTCACCTGCAACCTATTTTTATTTCAGTTAGTCGCCAAGGCAACATTTCTAATTTCTGTTCAAGTTTTTCAAGTTTGAATTTTTCATCTAATACTTAATTTTATTTCAGCCTTATTTCAATGAACAACTTTTTCTGTTGATTGAGTTTTTAGTTAATAATAACAACGCTGTTACTGTTCTTACTGCTACACATTTCTTGCAATGTTTAATGCAATAAGATAACACCAAAATGTTCTTGACATCTCAGCAGAGGCCTGTTGCATGAAGCCGGTTTTGTTTTGTTTTTTCCCAGGTAAGTTCACATTTAGGCCTACTTCCAGCAAACTCAAACTGGCAAAACTCGCTTCAAATTAAAGCAGTTTACAGTGAAAGGAGTTTAGAGACAAAATTGCCAGTCTTTTACTGCTAATTATTTAATATATTTATATTTTATGAATTATAATTACTTGTAACTCATATAATATATTCATTGAATTATTCGTATCGACCGAAATTAAGAAATATATCGTGATATCAATTTTGGCCATATCGTCCAGCCCTAATATGAACTAGCGATTAATATTAAACTTTGAATTTAAATTAATTAAAATAAATACATATAAATAAGCTTTAATATATAAAGCTTTGAAAATGACAAAACTTGTGTATTTTCTTTTAAGCTCTTTGTGAAACTATTTAAATAATTAAATTCAGCTTAATCATTTGCATAGTGATATGTTTTATGCGAGCACACAGCCAGACACACCTGAGCAGCAGATATGCTAAGATGCTTTGTTTACCTTGCTGTGTCGTGGGAGTGCAGCAGACGCGAGTAGTGAAAACACGGGAATGGACTTTAATTTATATGGACTCTGAATGAGCCAAGTGGAATGGATTTGAGGAAGCAGCAGCGTGGAAGTCAAGGCTGTAGCTAAAACACGAAATGGATACTCAAATACAGTGGTTCCGATGCCCATGCAGGATGAACACTCGAGCCAATATTATTTTATCCCCATAACTTAAGTATCACAGCAATGCTATTTCAGCAATATCACACAAGCAAAAGCACCGCTGATTGCAAACAGCCATGCTGATATTTAGATCAACAGCATGATTGTTACTGTGTGACAGTGCTTTTGTACAACTGTTAAATAAACAAGAGGTTAAAACAGTACATTTAGACACAATACTGCCAGTTACTTTGTAGGAAATAGTTCCAAACAAAAAGAACTGACACACACAGCAGTGGCTTTACTGAATGAATAAGTGTTTTTGAAGAAATCTGTTGTGAATGATACAATGACACGTACTGGACTAATGTAACCAGCAGAAAGTGAAATATACTGGAACACTTCAACTTCATAATCTTTAATGGACCCACTTAGAAATCCTTTGAGAACAAGGTTACACTGAATCCTCTTTTAAATGGTTCTTGGTAGAACCCTCATTGTTCGACCCATCACGGTTTTTAGTATAGGTTGCTTTGAATTGGACCAAAAGCATTAATGTTTAACTGGCCACTTTCATTCCTAAAAAGCTAATAATGCATTCATCTACCCAAGCATTGTTATTGCCCTGTTTTAATGGCTCATTATCAAATACTTCATTCTTACCCTCTGAAAGTCACACTGGGGATTTCGGCAGCGAGTGGGTTTGCAGATGACAATATCATTGTAGCAGATGCAGTCTTGACAGGTGTCTGGTTTCCATGATGTATTGTTCTATAACAGGAAGAAAAGTAAAAAGACATAAATCCATGCCCACCAAATGCCATCATCTCTCAGTTCATGATGCATGCATTGGGAATGACACGGCACTAAAAAGCAAAACCTTGACAGTGTAACATCTGGAGATGACAACATAAAAACAAGTCAGAGGTAGGGGTGTGCGATATATATCGTCTGCGATAATATCGTAATTGTTGTTTTAACGATGTGCGATTTGACATTATCGAGTATTTTGCAAAAACCATTCAAAACATCCCTACAGAGCGCACGCATACATTACGTGAAGTCTAGACTAGTGCGTGTGCGCATTTAGTGTGTTTTCTTTCACTGCATGATTCAGTAAATGTAAGAATTCGACTCAAAAGATAATGGACACTTCTAGAAAAAATGGCTTTATAAAGGTAAAAATGCCCATAAAATGTAAAAATCTGTTTAAACTTATTGGAAAAGATTAATTTCTATCAGTATGAACTCACCACCACACAGAATATGAAGAATATTAAAAACATTATCAGTCAGCTGTCTTCGGCAGTCCTTAAGGTACCAGCACAATAACACACTCAGCAAAATATAGTCTAATTATCGCTATCGATAAAATCCCATAAAATATCGAGATATAATTTGTCAATATCGCACACCCCTATATAAAATATACAAACTTTACAACTAATATTATTATTAATATTATTTTATATCAATATTGATTTTTGTAATCAACACAAAAAAGTTTTTTTTTTTTTTGTGTGTTGATTACAAGGTGCCAAGCAAGAAACGGTAACTTGGAAAGGATCTTAGCTCTAGTTTTCTAGATCTTAGGGGTCTAATTATCGCCATCGATAAAATCCCAGAAAATATCGAGATATTATTTTTTGTCAATATCGCACACCCCTAGTCAGAGGGATCAGTGTCCAAGCTCAAATAATGATTCTAAAGTAATTTTCTTACTAAACATTCACAATTGTCAATTTTCAAAACAGCTTCAGAATTTGTATTGTATTTGTTAGAAATTCCTAGCTGAAACTTTAAACAAGGCCATTGGAAATAGTTAAGTTATCATGCATTTAACCCGAGACATCTCCATTCCCTACAATAAATGTTAGAACATCAACAGATAAGACTGAACGAGGTTGCTTTGGTATTTTAAAATGTATTAACAGTCTTGCCTGAGGGACCTACTGCTTTAAAAGGGTATCGGATGATCAGATAGGTAAAACAGAGGAGGAGCCTCTTTTATGTCAATGTAGCAGACCTAAACAGACAGTTTGGACTGGACCTAAAACAGGGTCTTTGCTAAAACTTTAAAGTGGTCATGAACTGAGAAATCAAAATATTTTGACACTTAAGGGGTCAGTGTACTATAAAAACAGTCTTGTATTGAAGCCAGTCTGCCAAAACGACAGGTTGTGGAATGTGCCACTTTATGACGTAATAGTGTGGCTAAACCCCGCCTCCACAGAAGATGATCAACACCTGCTTCTACATCACTGCCTGTTTAGCTCCGCCCACCGATTCACGCATGTAGTGTAAATAACAAGAGACGTAAATGCAGGTCTACGCAGAAACCAAACGATAAAGATGGCTCAGAAGACAACAAGACGCTGTGCAGTGCCAAGTTGTGGAAAAACACTGCTGCATTGCCTTCCCTCTGATCCTAACATTAGGAAAGAGTGGATGAACTTTATTTTTAATGAAGATCCAGACCACGCCAGCAAGAACTCGGTCCTTTGTTTACTTAATTTCAACAGTGGATTAATTTACAAACAAGACACAATATTCAGAAAGATTGAAACTAAAAGACAATGCTGTGCGACTATATTGGATCTGACAGTAATGTAGCACCACACAAGTGTGAGTAACTGTTTTTGTTATGTGGTCACTAGTGCTTTGTCTGTTATTACAGATTGTTTGATATGTACTGAGTATTTATGTGTTTTTAACCACATCAGGGTCCATCTTTGAAGGATTTGGCTGTCAAACATACACAACTGTTAGCCAATCATAGCAGTGGGCGTTTACTTCCGAGTCTACAATCTGCCACACCTATTCAAACAGAGTGTTCCGATGAGGGGGTCAAAACAGGACAGAAAATAACCTATTACTTCTAAATGATGTTTTTTTATCTTGATAACATTATAAGTGGACAGAACAAAATGATAAAAAGGCAGTTCATGACCCCTTTAAGAAAGGTCAGGGTGAATGAAACCCTGTGCTGCCACTGAAGCTTTGATTTAAGTAGTCTTACAGTCATTTGATGACAGCTGTCTCAATGCAAGCCAAGCCAGACTGCAACTAAAATGGTTGCAAATGGAAAAAATAACCATTTTAAAAATAATGTTAAAAGCAGACATCATTGGTAACAGTTAGGGGAGGTTTGTGTGCATTTAAAGTGGTTTTGTCAGATCTCAAACTGGAGCACATGCCAGTGTTTCCTACACACAACAAACAAATGACTCTTATGGACCATTCTTTTTAATGAGTTAGTAAAAAGAAATCCCACTGTAACTTTGAATTCTGAATTAATAACGTATTCTAAAAAACACAAATAATATTATTTGCTATTGCTTAGCATATACGGCTCAATGTTAATGCTGAATTAACTGTAAATTTGTTTGGATGACTTGTTCGAGCCATATATTCAACAGAACATTTCACAGTTTTCCCCTGAACAGGCAAACATATTCGGTCACAATTTAGTTTAGGGACTAATTCTCACTATTCACTAGCTATTAACTATGACTTTTGCCCCAATAAACTCCTAATTTGCTGCTTATCAATAGTTAGTAAGGTAGTTGTTAAGTTTAGGTATGGGGTGGGTTAAGGGAGCTAAAATATGGTCATGCAGAATAAGGCATTAATATGTGCTTTACAAGTACAAATAAACAGCTATTAAGCTAGTAATATGCTTGCTAATACACTAGTTAATAGTGAGAATTGCTTCCTAAACTAAAGTGTTACCAAATATTCTTACAAAACAGAGTGATATTTTAATGACACAAATACAGTCAGACAATTTAATTTATAAGAGCTGATGTTAAGCAGAAAACGAAGTAATATTGCTTTAGAGGGCCTTCAACTAGATATCCACACAAATCGGTTAAATGCACCAAGCAGTGAGCTATGTCAGAAGTTTATTTAAAGTTATTCAGATATACAGTATGTACACAAAACTTTGATTTGCTCTTACTGATCATAAATTCTATGCTGTGCGACTATATTGGATCTGACAGTAATGTAGCACCACACAAGTGTGAGTAACTGTTTTTGTTATGTGGTCACTAGTGCTTTGTCTGTTATTACAGATTGTTTGATATGTACTGAGTATTTATGTGTTTTTAACCACATCAGGGTCCATCTATGAAGGATTTGGCTGTCAAACATACACAACTGTTAGCCAATCATAGCAGTGGGCGTTTACTTCCGAGTCTACAATCTGCCACACCTATTCAAACAGAGTGTTCCGATGAGGGGGTCAAAACAGGACAGAAAATAACCTATTACTTCTAAATGATGTTTTTTTATCTTGATAACATTATAAGTGGACAGAACAAAATGATAAAAAGGCAGTTCATGACCCCTTTAAGAAAGGTCAGGGTGAATGAAACCCTGTGCTGCCACTGAAGCTTTGATTTAAGTAGTCTTACAGTCATTTGATGACAGCTGTCTCAATGCAAGCCAAGCCAGACTGCAACTAAAATGGTTGCAAATGGAAAAAATAACAATTTTAAAAATAATGTTAAAAGCAGACATCATTGGTAACAGTTAGGGGAGGTTTGTGTGCATTTAAAGTGGTTTTGTCAGATCTCAAACTGGAGCACATGCCAGTGTTTCCTACACACAACAAACAAATGACTCTTATGGACCATTCTTTTTAATGAGTTAGTAAAAAGAAATCCCACTGTAACTTTGAATTCTGAATTAATAACGTATTCTAAAAAACACAAATAATATTATTTGCTATTGCTTAGCATATACGGCTCAATGTTAATGCTGAATTAACTGTAAATTTGTTTGGATGACTTGTTCGAGCCATATATTCAACAGAACATTTCACAGTTTTCCCCTGAACAGGCAAACATATTCGGTCACAATTTAGTTTAGGGACTAATTCTCACTATTCACTAGCTATTAACTATGACTTTTGCCCCAATAAACTCCTAATTTGCTGCTTATCAATAGTTAGTAAGGTAGTTGTTAAGTTTAGGTATGGGGTGGGTTAAGGGAGCTAAAATATGGTCATGCAGAATAAGGCATATGCTGTGCGACTATATTGGATCTGACAGTAATGTAGCACCACACAAGTGTGAGTAACTGTTTTTGTTATGTGGTCACTAGTGCTTTGTCTGTTATTACAGATTGTTTGATATGTACTGAGTATTTATGTGTTTTTAACCACATCAGGGTCCATCTATGAAGGATTTGGCTGTCAAACATACACAACTGTTAGCCAATCATAGCAGTGGGCGTTTACTTCCGAGTCTACAATCTGCCACACCTATTCAAACAGAGCGTTCCGATGAGGGGGTCAAAACAGGACAGAAAATAACCTATTACTTCTAAATGATGTTTTTTTATCTTGATAACATTATAAGTGGACAGAACAAAATGATAAAAAGGCAGTTCATGACCCCTTTAAGAAAGGTCAGGGTGAATGAAACCCTGTGCTGCCACTGAAGCTTTGATTTAAGTAGTCTTACAGTCATTTGATGACAGCTGTCTCAATGCAAGCCAAGCCAGACTGCAACTAAAATGGTTGCAAATGGAAAAAATAACCATTTTAAAAATAATGTTAAAAGCAGACATCATTGGTAACAGTTAGGGGAGGTTTGTGTGCATTTAAAGTGGTTTTGTCAGATCTCAAACTGGAGCACATGCCAGTGTTTCCTACACACAACAAACAAATGACTCTTATGGACCATTCTTTTTAATGAGTTAGTAAAAAGAAATCCCACTGTAACTTTGAATTCTGAATTAATAACGTATTCTAAAAAACACAA